ATTGTCCGTGTTGCAGAGAAATATGTTGATATGTCTGCAAAAACCAAGTTCAGAAACTGAGCAGGGTTATGTGGGAGGTTTTCTGAAAGTTGATTTTTGGTCAGGGAAAATTCTTAAACTTGGAGCAACAATAAAATGCTTCCTAAACGGAAAAAAAAGATACATTATTGGGTTGTTGGGAAAGTCATGACACATTTTTGCGTTGAAAAACATAGAAAAATACATCATGACTTTCCCAAGGATCCAATACTTAAGAGAGTTGTCCATCTTTAAATGTAAACAGAGAATTTAGATCAATTGGTCTTAAGGTGGAAGGATAATAGGATTTCCTAATTCTTGCCTTTGGCAGAGCTGTGGTTAAATGACTGCAGTTAGATAAGGGCTTTCATGACCTTAACATATTCCAGGAGGTCTAATCTTTAGTAATATTTTATAGTGACTCAAAGATACCCTCTAGTTCTCTGGATGTGTTACTTAAATGCTTCTTGCTTGAGTTTTGCCAGTTGCCTCATGTCCTCTCCTTATTAGAGGAAACATTTTCATTGTGATTCATTTGTGTTTTTAAAACTCACTCAGGAGCTCTCATAGTTCCTTGCTTCCTCTTTTCAACATAACCCTTGGGGAGCAATTTTCCCTTCCATGAAAGAAAGAATATTTTTTGGTAACAACCAGCAATGACTTCGGCTTCTGTCCCAGTAGAAGTCTAGGTCAGAAAAAAATGCATCGTTTGTAATTGAGCCTGAGGATTAATACACAAACTTCAAATGAAATGTTTAATCGTTCTCTTAAAAAATGGGAGTTTCCTTTTGAGTTTTCTACTCTGCCCGATCCCTCAAACTAATGATGGATGCAATTCTTTAATACAGCACTTGCTCCTGGAGAAGGAGCCCCTCCGACGTGCGGTTTGTGCCAAACTCCATCAGCGCAATCATCTGCAGCTTGTTTAGTTCTGGTTCTCATCATCTGGGACAGGGATTCCTTACATGGGAACTTGACCTTTCAATTGCTTGAAGGAGGCTAACCTTTGCTCTCAGAGTAGTTTGAGATGTGAAAGCCTGTCTTTCTTGTTTCACAGCACACATAATGAAATGAACTAGATAAAGACTTGACGGGCTTAATTTTTTAGCTCATCAAGGCAAGAGGCCCAGGGCTCTGTTTGAGTTAACAGTGGTAACACTCAGTCCAAGCTAAATCTTGACATACTATGTTTATAAGAACTGAGGCACACCAGGAGATAACATTTTTTTTTTTTTTGCTCCTCAGGTTCTTGTCCTCATGAGTGCCTTAACGGAGCTTTCTGTTCTCAGAGTGGTACATGTGACTGTCAAATATTTCAGGCACTTGGGACAAGGTGCCAGATTGGTAAGTTTCAGGAATACTTATGAGAGAACTACGAGATGCTGAAGAAAACGTTTAGGCATAATTTGCTATATTACTGTTTGTCCATTGGGAGTTGTTACAATCATATTGTGTATTAATTTGAGTGCTCACAATTCATTCCAGTAATTCAGAAACAATGTAAAAGAAAGTTGATATGCCCACTTTCCTTTCTCACTTACCGCTACTATTTCCTCAAGTATTTTTTTCCACTGTAGATGGTACTGCTCCATTAAAACCAGGATCTCATTCATCTCTTTTTTGCTCGGTAAATTAGATTTATTATTTGGAGCCACACGTTCTTTTTGACTTTGAATTAAGTGGACATTCTGTAAATAAAATAGAAATAATATTGAGAGCTCTTCAAAGCAGAGGATCCTTAAAAAATATTTTTACCCACAGTGTCTAGGTTAGGATCCTATGTCAATAATGATCAATAAATATTCATTTGTACAATGAGTATTAAGCATCTATTAGATCCCAGGCTAGGCACTGGGGACATGATAATGAATAATATAAATCGGTTTCTGTTCTTCTGGAGGTTACAAGCTAGAGGTGGGGACTAAAAAACAACAGATACACATTAATCATTCTTGTGACATGTTCTATGGGAGAAAGTATAAGATGCTTTATGAAAATTTACCACAGAGGTAAGGCATATTGTCAGAGAAGACTGTGTCAATAATGAGTCACTGTGTTTTTTTCTGAAAAGGCAAAATTGGCCAAAACTAAATTTAGGTAAAAATTATGCTCCCTACAGAGGGTATTAAAATATTTTACACATATCGAGTGCTCAATAAATGTCATCGATGTTCACGTTATTCTAAAGGGAAGAGTCTAGAAAATCAAAATAGAACAGAGAGCTAACTACAAGGATAAGAAGAGAGGTAGGCATGAAGACAACGGGAGATGAGGTTATGTGCGTTAAAACAAACATTGCCTAAAATTTGGCCAGTTTGAGGTCTTAAATTCCAGCATACTTTGGATGACTAATGCTCCCCATCCCTATACATATAAACATGAATTTTTTTTTGGTGGTGGTTATTTTTCTCTGGGTTTTGTGACAATATTGTTGGACAAATTGTGGAGACTGGAATACTCGTGCTGCCTAGGCTAATTTTTAGGACACTCAGTGGTGACATTTTCTTTTCTGAGCCATTATATTGCTTTAGCACTATCATCTTTTACTGTATCATTCTCCCTACTCTGCCTTTGTTCCAGAGTCTTCTTTGGAAGTAAGAATTACAGAAACTTCTAACATAAATCCTTTCTTCAAGAACAACTTGGAGACCATGCTTTTCTTCAGGAGAGTTTTAATAGTTTTGAGAGACACTAGTAATTTTATATTAGTTATTTCTTTCTGCAAGATATTGACCACCAAAGAAGAAAATATTTATTTTAATAAAATAGAACTACCGTGACTGAACCTTGCCAGAAACAGGTGTCATTTACTTTATTCTACTAAATATTATCCTATTTCTTTTCAGTGCCAAACATGGGCAATGGCAGAGATGGGATTTGCAAAACCTGGGGACAGTACCACTTTGAAACTTTTGATGGCATCTACTATTATTTCCCAGGAAACTGTTCTTACATTTTTGCAAAGGACTGTGGTAATTTGGAGCCTCAGTACACTGTATGGGTAAGTGATCCTAGAGCATAATTAACTTAAACTATTTCTGGTGTTGTCTGTATTTTTACAGTACCGGACAAATGATGGAAAATGTGTGATAATCATAGCATGAATACCTAGAGCTCTGACTGGGGAGAGAGGGGGGTTGGGTTTTTAATGAAATGGATAAAATTTGCAGCTATATTAAGTATAGTTCTATCAAGATGGGACCTACGACTGGGAGAAGGGAGGGTTTGAATCCATGTGGGAGGGATTTATAGGCAATGTAGCAATGTCTACATGTCAGAATGTCAACTCCAGTTGCTATCCCAATTTTTCAGGTTTTATTTGATCATTTTGAAAAGGGGGTGAGTACAAGCACCAACAATATTTCTTATATATGATTCCTTTTTGGAACTTCCAGTGTGATGCCACCTGGCTCAATGTTTAAAAACGGCACCTCTCAGAATGAACCGGAGGTTGAAATTCATAAAATGGAGAACGTGAATTACATAAGCACAGGCCAAAGGATATGGGCACAGGCAGCTAATTGCTAGGTAGATTGATGCCACATGATAGTTTTGGAATTCTTGTTTCTAAAGAGTTCTTAGGAGACATCTCAAAATGTAAGCTGCAGAGTAGCTCTAGGTAAAGTAAGGAAGTCAGGCCCCTCTTTCCCTGCCCACTAGCTTCACCTGAGTTTCCAGGAAACTTAAAGCACACCCAGGAAACTGCTTTGCTGTCTTGTTCAAAAGCCAAACTCTCCATAGCTCTGATTTGTTGGAATCTCTGTTTTCTTTTTCCTTTCTAATGCATATTGGAGTGGCCTAGATTCTTTTCCTCTCCTAGGTGAGGCACATATTAAAAAGTAGGTCTTGAAGCTTTTCAAGAACAACAAATCCTTATGACCCAGAAAGGAAATGAGCTCTACTGAAAGTTAACTTACGGGGCCTAAAAGTAAAAAAATTAAGAGGTCTCTTTAGCCAGGAGAGTTAGTGAAATACACTTTCAGTACTTATAGGGCTCCTGTTCCCAGTCCCCTATTGTTCTTTACTCCTGCACTCTCTGGCTGGGTTTATCTCTCCTGACTCCTTCATTGAAATGTTCTTGTCCAGTGTCTCACCCCTTTGAGGCCTAAGGTGTCAACTAGATAATCTATCCTTTGATAATAACACATGCTACTGAACTGTGCTTCCAGAGTTAATAGATATTGTTTCTACTTGGCCCTGTTTTGGGTTGGTGGAATTTGCTTTTAAATCAACAAATCCATTTATTTTAAATATCATCTTTTCCCTGGTTATAGAAGTAGTACACTTCAATTGTAGAAAATTAGAAACAGTTAGAGAAGTCTAAAAAATAATACTAGAATTACTAGTCAAGAGGTACTATTGCTAATGGCTACATATATTTCCCTCTGGATTTTATACACATTTATAATTTTGAAATCTTATTATGTATAATTGTCTGTCCTATATTTTCACTTAACATTATATCAAGTACTTTCTTCCATGTCAAATATCTTTGACAAACACAAATTTTATTAGCTATATTTGTTCCAACTCATGGAATACTCAAATTATTTAACTATGCTGTGTTTTAGAAATTTAGGTTAAAAAACATTTTCAGTATTTAAAAATATATATATATTCATCATCAACTATTGCTGATCAGGTCTTCTTTTTTAATATTTAAAAAAATTTAATTAGAGTTGACATACAATATTATATTAGTTTCAGTTATACAACACAGTGATTAGACATTCAGACTAAGTGATCACCCCGATAAACCCAGTATACATTTGATGCTATATGTAGTTATTATAAGACTACTGACTATATTCCCATGCTATACCCTACTTTCCCATAACTATTTTGTAACTACTATTTTGTACCTTTTAATTCCCTCCTCCTTAACCCATCCCGCCTCCTGAACCCGGCCATCATCAAAATGCTTTCTGTATTTATGAGCTTGTTTCTGTTTTGTTTATTTGTTTATCCTGTTCTCTAGATTCCACATATAAGTGAACTCATATGTCATTTGTCTGTCTCTTGTCTGCTTAATCCACTCAGCACAATATGCACTAGGTTCATTCATGTTATTGCAGATGGCAAGACTTCATTTTTCTAATGGCTGAGTAATATTCCATTGCATATATGTACCACCTCTTCTTTATCCATTCATGCATTGATGGACACCCAGGCTGCCTCCCTATCTTGGCTATTATAAATAATGCTGCAATAAACATATGGATACACAAGCCCCCTTAAATAGTGTTAGGGTTTTTTTCAGATAAACACCCAGAGTTGGGATTACTGGGTCCTTGTTTGTCTCTTGGTATAGCCTTTGTTTTAAAGTCTATGTTGTCTAGTATAAGTATTCCTAACCCAGGGCTTTTTATTGTTGTTGTTTCCATTTTCATGAAATATCTTTTTCCATCCCTTTACTTTCAGTCTGTGTGTGTCTTTCGATCTGAAGTGAGTCTCTGTGGTAGGCAGCATTTTATAGTCTTGTTTTCTTATCTAGCCACCCTATATATTTTTGATTGGAGCATTTAATCCATTTAGATTCAAAGTAATTGTTAATAGATATGTAGTTATTGACACTTTATTATTCACATTTATTATCTTTTTTTCCCCTTCTTCTTCTTCTTAAAAAAATCCCTCTCATATTTCTTGTAATATTGATTTGGTGGTGATGAACTCCTTTAGCTTTTTCTTGTCTGGGAAACTTCTTATCTGTTCTTCAGTTCTAAATGATAGCTTTGCTGGGTAGAGTAATCTTGGTTGTATGTCATTGCTTTTCATAACTTTGAATTTTTCCTGCCAGTCCCTTCTGGTCTGCAAAGTTTCTGTTGTGAAATTAGCTGACAGTCTCATGGGAGCTCCCTTGTAGGTAACTAACTGCTTTTCTCTTGCTGCTTTTAAGATTCTCTCCTTATCTTTAACCTTTGCCATTTTAATTATAATGTGTCTTGGTGTGGGCCTCTTTGGGTTCATTGTGTTTGGGACTCTCTGTACTTCCTGGGCTTCTTTGCCTATTCCCTTCACTAGGTTAAGACATTTTTTAGTCATTATTTCTTCAAATAAGTTTTCAATTCTTTGCTCTCTCTTTTATCATTCTAGTATTTCTATAATGTGAATGTTATTATACTTGAGGCCCCTTAAACTATCCTTGTTTTTTGGGATTCTTTTTTCTTTTTGATGTTCTGATTAGATATTTTCTGCTACCTTATCTTCCAAATCACTGATTTGATTCTCTGCTTCATCTAATCTACTGTTGATTCCTTCTAATGTATTCTTTATTTCAATTATCACATTCTTTATTTCTGACTGGTTCTTTTTTTATGTTTTCTATTTCAATTTTTATATTTCTTATCTCTTTGTGCAGTTCTCACTGAGATCACTGAACATCCTTATAACCAGTGTTTTGAACCCTGTGTCTAGTAGATTGCTTGTTTCTGTTTTGTTTAGTTCTTTTTCTGGAGCATTGTTCTGTTCTTTCACTTGGGACATGTTTGTTTCCCTTTTCTAGCAGCCTGCTGTGTTTGTTTCTATGTATTAGGTAGAGATTCTATGTCTCCCAGTCTTAGAGTGGTTTTGTGTAGTAGGTGTCCTATGGGGCCCAGTGGCACAGTCTCCCTGGTCACCTGAGTCTGGTGCTCCAGGCGTATCCTTTGTGTGAGTTGTGTGTGCCTTCCTTTTGTAGTTGAGCATGGTTGTTGCTTACAGATCAATGGGAGGGATTGACCCTCAGGTTGACTGGTTGTGAGGATTGGCTGTGACTATATTGGAGGAACTGTTTTTCAGGGGCTGGCCTTACGGATCAGGATTTGCTTTAGCAGGGCTCTGGTGCCTGCCCAGTCTGCCCTTAGGATGCGTCTTTTGTGGAGGTGGTTGGGTGATACTCTGGTGTTGTCTGAAGCTGGCCACCAGGTGTGTTGGTTCTGGGGCCTCTTGGGAGGGACTCTGTTGCAGGCCAAGGTCAGCCATTGCCTGTGACCTTCCCAGGGCCTCTTGGTATGAGCTACAATGTGATCTGCAGAAGGTTGCCAGTTGTACTGAACTTTCAGGTGCCTGGGAGAGGCTAAGCTGCAGACTGAGGCCAACTGCCACTAGTGCCTGCTTCTGGGCTGCTTAGCAAGAGGTACGGAGCATGCTGAGGCCAGATGCTGCTTGTTTGGGGTTTGAGAACCTTTGAGTTCATAGCATGAGCCAGGATAGGATGCTTGTATGGAAAAGCCACTAGAAGTGGCTTAAGTGGGACCTCAAGTTGGGTGGGGCGGGGTCTCAGGGAGTCACCAGGGCAGAGCAAACAGTGCTAGTCAGGTTGATGGAGACTCAGATCTGGCGGCCACCTGTACATGCAAGCTGGGTAGGGGGAGGGCTCGATAAAGGAACAATGGCTTCTGCCAGCACTTTCTTCTTGGAGAAAGCTGCCCCTCTAGCCCTTGCCCTGAATCCTGATAATTCAGTTCCTTCCTGTGTGCCCCTGGCACCTTTCGAATGGCTGCCCCAGTGCTGGAGCTCAGAGTGAGTGAGTTCATCAACAAGGAAGTTGCACGGACCCTTTAAGAGGAATGTCTGCAACTCCAACTGCCCTCCGTCTCACTCAGCCACAATCTTCCCTGGTTTTCACAGCCAGAAATAGTGCAGACTTCTCTTCCTTGCACTGGAACCCTGGGCTGGGGAGCCCGGGGTGGGGCTTAGACCCTCACTCCTCTGTGGGAACCTCTACAGTCGAGATATCCCTCCAGATTTTAAAATGTCACACATGGGTGTGGGACCTGTCTGTTCGGCATCTCTGCCCCTTATACCAGTCTCAAGGTGGTTTCTACTGTATGTTCTTAATTGTAGGAGTTCTGTTCAGCTAGACTTTAGGCAAGTCTCAATGATATTTGTTCTGTAGTTTAGTTGTACTGTTGATGTGGTCATGAGGGGGGAAAGCACATTTACTTGCTCTACCATCTTGACCTTGGAAAGATACATTGATAAACATCTTTATGCATATATTTTTAATACTCCTGATTCTTTTCTTTCTTCTTTAACCCTCCATTGGGTGCAACTGATCTCACAGATTCATTGCATACAAATTTTCAAATATCTAACAGTTAACTTAAGTATCATGGCTCATTGCTTCTGTATCTTCCCTCTCTACCATGACCCATCGCCAGTCATGTTTGTGACTTAGTACAGTAAAGGCGTATTTCATAGCGGCATCTTTGTGTACAATGAATCTGTGAGACCAGTTGTGCCCGACGGAGGATTAAATTCAATTTTATTTTTCTGAAAGTAATACATGTACATAGTTTAAAATATTTCATCAAAGCATAGAAAGAAAAAAAATTGTACCTGCCTTCCTTCACTGGGGGGTCCCAGGTGAAGCCTGATTCCCCAAAAGTAATTACTTCACCTTTTTTTAGCTGTTTCTTCTGGCTTTTATTTTACATGTAAAAATATGCTATTTTTAATTTACTTTTAAAAGGTCTTTATCGTTTACTTCCTACTATGAAAAATTGGGAAACATCTCAATTACATCACCCTTCCTGCCCCTAACACTCACATGCACTTTCCTTCCCTCCTCCTAATAGAATTACAGCACCAGTTTTGGTTAAATCATATGTCGTTTTTAATTTATTATTTTTACATATTATACATATATGAATAATATTCATATAAATATTGTTTTGTGCAGATTCCAATAGGTTGTTATGACTTTATTTCTCTTCTTTGTAGATTTGTATAAAGTTAACAGTTATATAAGTTTTTGTTTGCTGCATTTTCTATACTGCACTCACTTTTTTCCTCCAAACTCTGTAAAATTCTTCTCAGTATGTTTAGATAGTTTAGGCAGTCCCTCAGTTTCTCTTTTCCCCCATGAAATGCCCATTCCTCAGTCCTTTGTTCTCTGCTCAGTTGAGATTGGTTGCTTTCAAGCCTACTATACACCTGGCACTTGGGATTTCTCTTCATCATCTTCCTGGAGAATTTTTGTTCTTTCGTCATATTGGTTTCTCTGTTTCTTGGATCCCATGAAATATCTAGTGATCCTTGAACTTTACTCAAACTTGAGAGATAGTCCCTAAAAATCCTATTGGATACTTCAAATATGTGAACAGTGATTATGTGTAATGGTGATTGAGCAGAGACCCAGTTCATCTTCCTTCTTTACTCACCTGTTTTAATTGACGATATTTTCAAGTTGCTTGCTGGAAATAAATGATATTTTCCTGGAAAGTGTGCATGAAAGTGAAAATTTTGAAACCTTGATTATAATTTAGAAATCACTTTATAATTTTGTAATTCAATCAATTCTGATTTTTGATCATTTTGCATGTGGTTTGCCCCAACCCCTTCAGAAATTTTTAAATAGAGTCTTTATCCCCAGGGTTGTAAGATTTCATGATTATGTAAGTTGTTTTTATATATTTTTTTCATTTATTGTGCTTGAGACTTGATGGGCCCTTTCAAGCTTCATAAGTCCTTTAGTTTTGGCATAATATATATTTTCTCTATTTTCTTTCAAAATATCCTCTCTTCCTCTTTTTTTAGAAATTCTGTTTTTCAGATATTGGATATCATAAACTGAGTGATTGATTCTTTAATTTCCTCACTGATTCTTCCCTATTGTCCATCTTTTTTCATTTTGGTCAACGTTTTGGGACATTTATTTCCAACTCTTAGATATTTATCTCCCAGCCTTTATATTTCAGTTATATGTTTCTCCTATGATATTGTTAATATCCAGTTATTTATTTTTATTCTTTGAATTTCATTTTTAACAGAACTTTATTCTTGTTTCATGAATGATATATACTCACTTTTCTCTCTGAAGATATTAATTATGGATTTTTAAAAGTTTATTTTTCTGAATTGTTTTTGATTTTTTTGACTTTTCTTTTGTTTGTTTATTTGCTGTCTTTCATGCTGCAGGCTTTTATCAAATGATCCATGAATGCTTATTCACATTTGAGAATTAGGTTTTGAAAGCTCTGAATATATGGATGGGAGCTCGCTTGCCTGGTGGGATATTGAGCAGGGAGAATCTGGTTTCATTAGATAAGCCCCAGATATGAATATCTGTATGTCTTTTTTCCATTTTGTTTCTTCAAAGCAAAGTCCTCTAATATCCTGCCTGGGGTCAGATGCCTGGATTCCTGAATACTGCCAACATTTTAGGCATACTTCTCCTTCAGGCTTTTGCGCTTGCTAGTTCCTTTGCTTAGAACGGTCTTCTAAATGGCCATATGGCTTGCTCTTACACTGCTTTCATCTTTACTAGAATTTCCCCTTCTCAATGAGGCTTTTGTTGTCACTTAATCTAAAATTGTCCTCCAACCCTTGGCACACGCACTTTATCCCCTTTGCCTGCTTAATGTTTCTCCTTCATGTCATCTAGCATAGTACATATTTTAGTCACATTTAGTTATATTTTTTATTAACTGTTTTCCTCTGATGGAATATAAGTTTCATGAGGGCAGGTGTTTTTGTCTGTTTTATTGACTGTTGCATGCCTAGAATCTAGAATAATGCCTGGTAGGTAATAAGGCATCAATAAAATTTACTGATTATTCATTAAATTAATATACAGTACATTCTTGCAATGTTAAAAACCTACCTTACCATTGGTCATTTTTCTTATCACTTTTATGCTTAGAAAGTTATTCCCCAGCTACATAGTTATTTATATTTTCTTTCAGTTATTTTATGGTTTTATGATTATACTTTACTTTTTGGACCTTCTGATATTATTTTTGGAATGAGATATTCTTCTCGTCTTTTCTTTGCTTTCTCCTCTTCTTTCTTCTTTTCTTCCTTGCTTTCGTTTTTCTTTTTATTAGTAAACTAATTTTCCCATCAATTTTTTGAGAAATAATCTCTCTTCCTTAAAGTGTTTGGTCAATTTTATTTTTAGTGAGGCTATAGTCACTGTTGCAACCTTTACAGTATTGCTTTGTGTTTGCTTTATTTGAAGCTCTATTTCATGATTCTCTAATAGGTAAAAAATATGGGCATGGACATTACAAACGTGTTTCTTTGTGGTCTATAGTCTTCCTGTAAGAAGTATCTAAACATTATATATATATATATATAATTTATATATATATATAAAATGTTTAGTATACACACACACACACACACACAGACACACACACACATACACACACATACATATATATTTAAATGCTGAGTTAAATTGTACTGTGAAATTAGTTCTGTTGTCCAGTTCCTGAGATGAATATTTCTTTCCTCTTGAAAATCCTGAATGTAGTTATAATTTTGTAAAGTGTTGCAGGACTAATAATGCTGTAATAATGTAGGTATACATTGTAGTTTTATGAAGGCATATATCCATATTTGTTCCTATCCTTTCTTTTGTTTTTCTCCCTTTAAGGTTCATAATAGCCCTAAGTGCCTTGGTTCAGTGTATTATTGTTATCGGTCAATCAGCTTGTTCTTTTCAGACCAAGTGGAAATTAGAATTTCTGGGCATGAAATAAGAAAGAATGGAATCAGGTAAGATATAATAAATGATATAATGCAAATAACACCATGGATTGATAGCATTTTCAAACATCTCACACTGGAAGTGAATTGAGAGTAGGTAGAGAAGCTTTCTTTTCAACAATAGCCTTGAAGTTATATCACATAAATATTAAAACTTCAGTCCCCAAGGCCAAACAGGTGGCCAGATCTAACCAGTTTAACCACCCTAATGCTTATGTAGGATACAAATATGTTTACATAGGTGAAGAAAAAAAATTATATTTGTTTCTAAGAGAGATTTGAAAGATATCTTCATAGTTTAAGTCTTCAATTATTTTTGCCCTCTTTTTATATCTTCTCTTTTTTCTTTTTTTTGTTTAAGCAAAAACTTTGAACTACACCTCTGCAAGCCTTTTTTCTGAATTTTTATTAGTGAAGTCTGGGTGTCACTTGAGATTTTCCATTAATGTTCTGACAAAGATTTAGAGCTAATATGCAACTGGCCTTCTTGGATGGATCAGAGAGGGGCCACTTCCAGTTTCCTGTCTGCCAAGAATAAGATCTGAGAGTTTTGGGGAAGGGGATATTTATTTAATTGGTGGAAGGTTTCATAATTTTAAAAGAGGAATACTGTGGAATAACCCACCTCCTAATCTTAATAATTATAGAGGTGCTCAGACTTAAATATTTCTTGGCTGAGTTATGCCAGGAAAAGTAAATTGTGGGATGGAGCAATTCTATTCATCATTCAGAATTCACTAGCAAGTGTCTGAACCATGAGGATTCTTTCCAGTGCAACGGCCTTACCAATCTTTGTGCTTCTTTTTCTCAGTTTCGATTCCTTAAGAGGCAGCTGATCGTAGCAGAAAGGGCTTGGATGAAGGACAAGGGGAGCCAGGCACTGAGCACATAGTCAGGCCACCCAGAATGGCCCCTCTGTCTCTCTGGGACTTATTTTCTTGATCCATTGGGTTCTGTACTTCTCATTTTCTTATAAAAGAAAGCTTAGGCATTTGGAAGGGAAGATAATACACATTACATGTGTATTTCTTGGATCTAAATTTAAATAGTAATTTGGGATACCTTCTATGGGATTTTAGGTAACATAATGGACACTTAAAAATTATTATGTTTTATAAAACAGAAATACCGTTAAAGGAGACTTTTAAGAATACTAACCCTTTGTTGAATCAAAGGTGTAATATTTAAATTTTAACTCAGAGAGTTTGCATGATAGAAAAAGGATGGATTTCTTATTATGCAGTGAAATTGTTTATACTAATGGTGTACCTGGCCTATGGCCTTAACTTACAGCAGCAGGTGCTAGAGTAATGTTTGCCAAAATGAAATCAAACGTGTGAGGCTCTGTACATCACTCCTTACCTCTCTGGACTTCTGTTCTCTTACCTGTGAAATGAAGGGTTTTGGTACATACAAACCTGTGAATAATTTTCAGCATTAATTTCTGCTTTCATTTCATTTTGTACTGTTAATGTTTCCTGCCTAGGTTGCATGGAGTTTTTCTTAGATTTATGGGAGATTATCTAAGTTTATTACTATCCTCCTACTCTAATAGCATTCTTTTATGTTATAGACATCAGAATAATCACAATAATGCACCTTTTATTTTAAAAAATAGTTTACTTAATCAATTTACTGTGAAAGAGATCAAATGACAAATGATCAAACCAAAAAATACCCACAAAACAACTCTACCTCCATACAATTAACACCTCAGCGCTGTGAAATATCTTTGTAAAACATGGTTCACTTTTTCATGTATAATTTTTATAACTTGCAAACATAAACAATATTATTCATATTGACTTTCACTATGAATTTACTGTGAATTCCTCATGCTTATAATTTTTAATAAGAATAGGTTATGGCAGCAGTTAGCTAGAGTCTTCTTATTTATTCTCCAATGTAAATTTTTAGTTATTTTCCTATTCTTATAACTAATTCTCTGTAAAAAACAATCTGCAAACATCTTTGTGAAAATGGTTATAGGTATTTTGAATTGTTTCTGTAGGGAATATCCTTTTGTTAATGAATGTGTTTAGTTTTATCGTTTTTGTGTCATGTAGCCATGCTTTTACAGGAAAGGAAATCCCTAATTTGAAGTTTTTGAGAGAACAGTCTGAATATATCTATTAACATCCCACTTCACTCATATTATAAATTATAATTTTCAGTGAGCATAGTTATCTTAATAGAAATGATTTTTTTTCTTTTACTTCTTCAATTATTAGCACCTGCACTTTTCTGTAATACTTGTGAATGGAAGGAGAGCAATGTTCTTTCAAATGTATTTTAGGTGATTTATTGTGCTTTTAATATGTCCAGGTGTTTAGTTTTCCATAGTTCTCGTATGTCTCCCACATCCTTTGTATATGCACGTTCTTTTAAAAAATGAAAAGAGTAGATGTTGGATCAGGAATTTAAATATTCAATGTGACTGTTGTTTAAATAGGCAAAATTGTATATAACTTAAAAATTATGACCATAAACCCTATGCAGTACTCTAGGACAAAGTGTTCTATATTCCTAATAATGTACTTTGTAGCATTAAACATGTAAATTATAGTTAATCATGCCTTGACATTTTTCTTTTGGAAAACAGTAATTTATACCAAGGTGATGTTTTGGGAATAGAAGCTCCTATTTCTTTACAGTGAATTTAAAATAAAAATGAAATAAAATCAGAATTTGAGCAATGTGTTTACACATTTTGAGCATTGTTTGTAATTAGAAATTTTGAGCAGCATTTTTTTATTATCTTGGACTCTCTAGATAAAAATATATACATTCAAGCTCTCATTATTCAAAATAAGCAAGGTTATTTTCCAGAATTTAAAAACCACTGATATTTAGCAGAAGTGTTTTTGGTTGGTGGAAAGAATCATCCAATTATAACATCTACATCAATTTGGAGAAACATATAATTTTTGTTGTCTTTTTATTTCCATATTGTATTTTTCAAAAAATATCAAGATTTCCTATAGGATAGTTGTGTGGGAAATCTAACTGCATAGGTTTTTAAGTAATTTTGAATAATAATTATCTTTTGTTTGATCAAGTTACTTCAAGGAAGAACTAAGTCATCTTTAATTGATCCTTCATCATAATTCTATGATTGCCTTTGTTATATTTTTTCAAGTTTAACATTGCCTCAGACAATTGGACAGGTTTCCATTGAGAAACTAGCTGACTACATTCTGGTGAAAACAACCTTTGGTTTTTCATTGGCTTGGGATGGAATATCTGGAATTTACCTCAAAATATCAGATGTGCATAAAGGGAAATCATGTGGCCTATGTGGGAACTACAATGGCATTCAATCTGATGATTTCATCATTCTACAAGGTAAGGGAGCAGAAGAAATGTAGGGGTACTTCTGAGGTCTTCTTCTTTCACTGATAATAAACCTTTTTGTGCCCAGAAGAGTACGACTTGTTCTAGGTTGGGTAAAATTGGTAGCTATCACTTTCCTGTTTTAGTGATTTTTAAGTGAAGCTTGAGTAGGAAAATATTTTGTGTCATTCTTGAAAACTATGAGCTAGTCTACATTTGCTAAATTAAGATACAGGACTTACTCATGTAAAAAATATTAACTGAGCATTTACTTTGTGTCAGGCACTGTTGTAGGAGCTTGGGGTACATCAGTGAACAAAACAAAGACTTTTCCCTTCTCAGGGCTTATATTTTAGTGACTCAGACCCATTTGGAACAAAATTGTCCACATTTGGACAAAAACTATTTTGCATCCCGTCTTGATAGGAATAAATTAAATAAATGCCAAATAATAGCTTTGTAAAGATAATGAAATGTGAGCACTATTATAAAAGTTGAATAATAACATGGAAAGATTTTATTATTTGTAATGATGTACCTGTAATCATTTATCTATTCATTCAAAGCCATAAAACGAATCTCAGTGAACTATTAATAATGTGTTCTGTTTCAAATTGGATACTAATGTGTACTGGCAACAAAAGAAGAGAGTCACAGGACATAATCATGATTTAGGTTCCACATAGAGAGATGCAATAAAAAATAACACTGTTCTTAGTATCAGCAGACATGTTTTTCAATCTTATTCCAACTCTTATAAGCTCTGTGATTGGAGGCAACTCATTTAATTTCTCTGATGCTCAGTCACTTCAGCTGAAAAATAGGAATATAATAATTCTTAACTTTAAGAGTTATCAGTAATAATAAGAATATACCTTGATATTGTTGATAATACTGTATATGAGCATGTAACTATGTTTTTCCCAACCTTACAACATCCTGTAAGGTGGGTAGTATTTTCTCAATTTTATAATGACACAAGGTAACATGCCCAATGTAACACAACTTATAAATGCTGCTGTCAGGGTTGGATTACAGATCTGACTGGCCCCCAATCCTATGTTTAGATAAATGCATGAGAAATTGACTTTTATTCTATAAAGTGCTATGTGATACCTTTTTATATTATAAAATTAATAGGGAAGAGTCGCCTATATGTTGTTTTAAGGCACAGGAAAATCCTACTTTGAGTTTTGGTTCCAGAGTCAGATTGTGGGATTCAAATTCAGCTTTGCCATTTTTTTTAACCTTTTTAAGTTTAATGATATAATAGCAGTACGTACTTTGTAGAGTTGTAAGGATTAAATGAGACAATCCATGTAAAACACAGTACGGTGCCTGGCATATAGTTAATGCTCAATACATTTTAGCTAATTTATAATCATTGCCATCTGGTCTCAAATAAGCCTATAATGGAGCTGAAATGAAAACATTTGATTAAAGACATTGCTTTAAGAGGCCTTTGTTAAAATGCAAACATTTTACCCAAGATGGATAATGCCTCATCAGGATTAGATTACTAGTGGCTGGAGTAAAGAGCAGTCAGTGTTCCAGGGAGTCAGTTTCCTCATATGTAAAATGGAGATAATAATAATGACCCTGAGAACTTCCAGCCTGTGAGGATCAAATGAGAAAACGTAAAAGAAAGTATTCAAACGTCTGTGAACATAATACTAATGCTGTATTACATAATACCAGTGTTGGGATCATCATGAAATGGTCTTTTGAATCCAGTTGGGTATTTAGAGTGAGAGGGCTCACAAACTTGGAAGTAAGGTCTTGACTCAGGCAGAACCAGTCCGATGGTAATTCTTGATTTCTTGTTCTGTATCAAAAAAGCTTCATGAAAAAAATAATACTCAATTCATATCTCAGTGTTAGAAAAGACAGCTATGGGCAATTCTGCTGGAACATCAGGGGTACATCGTATAGAGGTCAGGATAGAAAATAGCACCTGCTCTTGTTAGAGGTACAGAGACTTAGATTAGGATTTAAGAGTCAGACAGCCTTTGATAACCTGGAACATAAAATGGTTGCTCACAGCGAAATAACTGGGGCAGCATGTAAAAGGGTGTTAGCAGATTGTAAATGGGAGAAGGCTGGCAGGAGGCAAGTGGAACGAATTACGGCTGAACTGGCAAAGGCAAGAAGGACCCTGGAAAGTATGTGGGAGGTGGAAGCCTAAAGAGAGATTTCAGCTTTTTCACAATTGTGTTTGGAGAACAGTATAAAGCAGAACAATGAGGACTAATTTACAACAATTTGTAGGCATGTGACTAGAACTTGCCCACCGGTTTTCTCCCATACTGTAATAATGCAAGAAAATGTCTCCAGATGAGCTAGTTTAGCTTTTGCTTTAAGATGCCTAGTATTTTTCTTGAAACTCAGTCTGTACTTTGCTGATTAGATAAATCTGTGGAAGCAGTGAGGTAGTTCAATTGAATGCCATTGAATGCATAATTTCTTAACAGTGATTAAAATTGCATTTCTCTCTGCATCCCTACTCATTCTTCAGGGATGACTTCACAAAGAAATGAGGCTTTTCAGAATTTCTGTGGATATAGAAAGATTTTAATTTGTTGTTTAATTGAGATTCTTGTTCCATAATTTATGTCTATAGCTAGCTACATATCAGCATAGAAACCTTTGTTTACTCTTGATTTTTCCCAATGTAGTAATTAATAGTGCTTCACTTTCATTCTCAAAAATGTCCAAATATGGACAATAAATTACTTTATGTTTTATATAAAGCATTTTAATTTTAGTTTTGCAGGCTCTCAGACCACCAATTGGTTTGGATTAAAGTCTCATAATAACCAACTTTTGTGGTTATTTTGTTAATGCATTGTGGTAAAAAATAGCTAAATATGTGTTTGAAAAGCTGGAATTAAAGTGAACTCTAAGGGATTGCCTAGGTTGTTTAGTCACATTAAAATTTGTGCATAAATATTAAAATAATTGGGCCTTTAGAAAATATTTTTGGTTCTGCAGACTTTCAAAAATTATGTTTTTAAATGAAATATGGCTATAAATTTTTTAAAGAGAACATCAGTTTTTCCCTTTTTAAATAATTGTATTTAAGTGGGTCCATGCTTAGTTCAGTGTGTAATTTTTCCAACAATAGCAGAGATAATGAAGTGGGCCAGACAAGTTTGAAAGCTCTAGGATTCTAATAATCTAGTTAATAAATATTGCACACTCCCTTTTATTTATTCATTCGCTTATGTAGCAAATGTATTTTGAGCACCTGCTATGTTCTAGATATTAAATGAGAAATACAGCAAAAGGATAGCTTTGACACACTCTGTCCCTTCCTTTAGTAGGTATTGTAGTGAAAGACAAAATAAATCAAGAAAAAAAAATTAAAATATAGTTTCTGTGAGCAATAGCAGTCATGAAAAAAAACGGGAGAGGAAGGAGATTAAGAATGATAGAACAAGGGCCGGCTGAGTGGCTCAGTTGGTTAAGAGCTCGCTCAAGAGTTTGAGCTCTGAGCAACAGCAGTTCGAGTCCTGGCCCGAGCTGAGCAGCCGCTGAGCTGCCAACAGGTGGCAGGATGGCTCAGCTAAAAAAAAAACAAGGAATGATAGAACAGTGTGTATTTGGCTGTAGTCTAGATCGTGTGACAGAAAAGGGCTCTCTGAGGAGGTCATATTGAATAGATATTTAAATGAAACAAGGGAGAGCGCAGAGGGAAGACGGGAGGAAAGTGACTTTGAAGAACGAGGAGCAAGAGTAAAGTGGGAATGAGTTTGAGTGAAGAACAATTTAAAATCAGTATGACTGGAGTAGGCTGAGCAAGAATAGGAGTAGAAGATATAGGAGAGGCCGGGGTGGGGTGAGGTGGGTGGAGGAGGTTGGGAGGTGGGGGACTGCAAGGGCTAGATCAAAGCAAGTCTTCATGGCCACAGTACAGTTTGGGGTTTTACACCAAGAGAGCAAAACATTGTTATAGACGAACTCCTACAGTCTTCCCAACGAATGGTAGTAACACAAGGATGTTATCTTCCTCTCTTGAAGATACTGAAAGAGTGTCACCAAACATTGGGCTGGAGATTTTTTATTCTAGTGGTGCCGTAGCTCAGCAACGGTAGATCTGTGGCTATGTAAACCTACGTGGTGAAGAACCTAACACTCACATCTAAAGGCTGGCTGTCTTAGATGGGACTTAGGGATGGCGTCTTGCTTAGTTCTGCTAAATCCTTGAGATTTGAGATTCAGCCTTTGTCTGAATGGGAGGCAGGATTTATTTTCATTAATCATGAAACTTGTTCTCAGGCCAGGTGCTGAGACCATTTAAACTTGAATTGGAGCAGAGAGTCCCGAGTGCTCACCACTGACTATGTGGCTGCACATATACCAGCTCCTGAATCTTGCCTCTGAATAATGCTGGGATGGGGTCAGCATTTTTAACAGTCTGTCCTGAGCATGTTTAGAGACACTTGTCATCATATTCAGATGAAATGAATTCACTTTTTAGCCTTTTCTTCTCCCGATATCTTTTCCAGTCTTTTATTGTGTGACTATCCTCTGAAATCTCCACAAGGCCTCAAAAAATATTTTTTTTCTACTTGTTGCATACCCCAAATAGGGAGATACAATTTTAGTAAGGTTCTGAATAATGTCAAATATAATGGGAGGGCTTTCTAAAATTTTTCACACCAAACTTTTACTTAAGTTTCTTAGTTTTATGTATATTTCTCTCCTCTCTATAGCAAAAGCTCTAGGCTAATTAGGGGTTTACTGGTGTGCAAGTTGTACCATTCACTTTCAGTCATTCCTCATGTTGGTTCAATGAAGTATGCCTTTTCTCTCCAACGATATTAACTTTTCTTTGGGACTTACACTTTGTTCAATTTATTTTTATTATGCTAACATAATGTTACAGTCTAATATCATTGATAAAATAATATAAAGTTACTGAGTTTAACTTTTTGACCAGGAAGTTTATGTTGACAAACTGTGCATTTGTGGAAAGTGACACTATTACACCTTTTTTTATGTGTGTGTTTGTGTGAAATAGAGGACTACACAGAAGACATTGCTGTGTTTGCAAATAGTTGGTTGGTGCAAATTCCAGGTAATATCAAATGTGTACCCACACCCTCAGATTTTCCAAATCCATGCTCCAGTGGAATGCCAGCATTTGAGGTAAATTTGATGTGAAAAATTTGGTCATGTTCAATGTAATGCACATATATTGTATTTGCATATTTAACATTAAGCATTTTTAGTGCAATCACTATAGAATTAAATGCTATTAAATTTAGGAAATGTAACTGCAACAGGAATCATTTTAAGATTACTTCAGAAGTAGTGACTGTAATGAGTTTCATAATAGCAGTGCTCATTACAAAAATATGTAGTTATAAAATGTTGGTTAAAATTTATAAGCAGAAATTACCTTCTCTTTCCTGGTAAGAACAGAGAGTCTTCTAAATAAGTAGAAAAAATGAGAGTACACCCGTGTTATTAAATACCTTCTAGTGACTGCCATCTTTTTCTGCACAGGCTATCTTCTTCAAGTGTCAGATACTGTTGCAGTTTCCTTTTTTGAGCTGCCATGAATATATTGACCCATATTTATATATTGCCAGCTGTGTTAATGATCTTTGCAAGTAAGTGAAATGATTAGTATTTGCAATAAAGTTTTCTTTATCCAAAAAAGAAGAGCCAAAACCACATCTGTAACTTAGCCATCCTAGCAGTTCACAAACTATAATGGGGAATGCAAAACAAAACTATACTAACAGCTATTAAAAGCTTTCTGGATAACAGGTATAGTCTCAGTTTTTTATATAAGCAGCATGAACTGAATACAGCAATTCTTAATTTTTTTTATGCCACTAATCCCTTTGGGAGTCTAGTGCTCTCCATAGACTCTTCTTCAAAATAATGTTTTGAAATACTCATAATAAAATACAAAAGTTTACAAAGGAAACTATATTGAAATAGTTATCAATATAGTAAAAGAAATGAATTTTTGATATATGTGCTCTTTTATATACATTTCATGTCTAATGACTACTGTAGTTTGACCTAGTGAGGAGTGTAAATAATATTTTGAGATATCTGCTACAGTTACAATGAAAACAAAAGAACGAAATATGAAATATATTGGTGACAGTCACAGATACTGCAAAGAATATCATTTTAATACCTATATGTATCATTGAAGAAAATGATAAATTTCATCTGGAGATTTGTGAAACTAAACGTGTAATATTTATCCCATCCAAGGTCACAGACTTCTGCATTCTCAGCCAGGTTAAGAACACCTAGACTAGGTGGTTTCTGGAGAACAAATTCAGAGAGACCGATCATAATATGTTCATCAATGTAGAATTTACTATAAATTACCCATTATTGAGGTCAAGTTCTTTCTACTATTTTTTTTTCCAAAAATTTACCAAGCATATCTGATTAGCTATCTTGAAGGTTCAAGAATGTCCCAAGAAATTTTAACAAAGCTGCATTTTTAAAAAGAATCTCAAGAAGTGTAAATGATACATGGGAACTTTGTTGTAAGAGACCAGACTAATTTTTGATTGAGTTAAACCATTTAAAAGGCATGTTGGGTAGCTTATGAAGAGGTTTAAGTTTATCAAGGTGAGAACAAAGAGGGAAAGTTGAGATACTATAAACTCTCTTATTTATAACTACTCAGCTTTAATTAAATGGGATTATTACAAAAATAATGAATGTAACAGTATTTTCCAGATATTAACATAAGCTTATTTGGGACACTTGTTAATTTTTAGTAGAAAGCAGTTATATCTTTATATGTATAGTCTCTAAATTTTAGGGATTTATGAACTAACTCTTTGAAAGGGCTTCCCTTCTGCCTAAAATATTGGGTATTGACCTTACTCTATATTTTACAACATTCTGTTCCCTATTTGGTTTTATTTATTTTTTTTAATTTAAGCACTGTGTTGTTATATCTCTGTTCTTTCATTCAGTCTGTTTTTTGAGGATCCCTGTAGGTAGTTCATGGTCCTTATTTAGCCATGTATATGGAATTAAAAATTGTTCTTATTCCATGGAGACTCATTCTTGGACCATTCTCAGTAGCCTTTACACTTGTCTTTATCATTATGTTTAGCACCTGCCTCTCAGGTAGACTGAGATGAAGTGTCATTTGGCAGATCCTGGAAAGCCCTTCTCTGTTTATTAGTTAGGATACAATTGCCAAAGTATCAGTGACTTCAATTAAATTGAATGCTTATATTTCTCCCCTATAAAGTCCTAGCTTGTAAGTGGTCTTGGATTTGTACCATCGGCCCACTCCATGAGTTTTCCAATAACTCAGTAATCCTATTCCTGTTATCCCCCAGGGCCTTATTTTCAATTTCTGGGGTATTATTCTCAATTTCATGGCCCAAACTGGCTTACCACTACCGTGTCCATATTTTAGCCTTTTGGAAAGGAGAAAAGCAAGTAGAGGGCTGGCAGAGTTTTTTTGTTTTTTTTTAAAGTGACCTGGAAGACTCATGCACACTCCAATTTTTAATCCTTTAGCCAGAACTTAGAATTTTTAATCCTTTAGCCAGGATTGCTAGGAAGTGTTGTCTTTGGCTGGGCAGCCAAATGCCTGGCAAAAACTTGGAGGTTCTACTACTGAAAAAAGAAGAAAAGGGAATTGGGACATAAAACAGTCTCTGCCACACTCACTTTGTCTGAAATGTCAACATAGAGAAACTAACATTTACGTCTTTTGAAATTTTGTTATCTTTAACCTTTGGATTTTGAAACCTAATTGCTTTCTCCAGGGAAAATAAAAATAGCAGAATAGAGAAACATCTTTTACTGGTTGGAATCATCTGATACCTTAAGAGAGATGTTTGAGGTGAAGAGGCCAGGTTTGGGGGCAGAGCAGGCATATAATATGAAAAGAAGGGCATTATTAATTGAGTCAATTGTCATTGATAAAATGGAAGTGAGAAGCTATCAGAGTTAGGCACTCTTCACAATATGTCACCTACATTCTTGCTCCTCTAAGGGAAATACTCTTCATTTCTTATATTAGGAGACTGCATCACAAGGAACCTATACTATGAGAATAACCTTGTGACTCGGCTGAACTCAAGTTCATTTCCTGCTTGGATAGTATATTGAATTCGATTCAACACACATTTTCTGAGCATCTACACTGAGCATAGTGCCACACCTTGGAGAAACAGAAGCAATTTAGACACAGTCCCTGTCCTGGGAACTCAGGTTCTAATGGGGCACAGAAATAGGCCTCCAGTAGTGACATATGTCTTAAATGCGAAGTGCTGTGTCTGTGCAGGAAAGAACTACTAGCTAATCAGGGGTGCCTAGGAAGGCTCCAGAAGAGATGACATCTGAGCTGGTTTAAAGGGCGAGACAATACCAGTTCTTGAACTGAAACCCTGTTTCTGCTTCTAAGAATGATAAACCTACCAGCAAGGAAATGATTTTAATTTTGCCACACCAACGTCAATCGATTTAAAAATAGCTATTTCTTAATACTCATTTTCCTTACTGAAGTTTACATCCAAAACAGACAAATAAGCTCGTTTTTCCCTCAGTAAATTGGAATAGTAATTTATTTCCTGCCCGATTGCTGTGAGTTTTCATGTGATGCCATAGAGTAACATATTTAATAAATGGTAACTATTTTAATATTAGTTGCATTGGGCTGGAAAACCAATATTTAGTACTTTGTTAACTTTCAAAGCCTCTATTAATTGTAGGAAATAATGCACATATTTAAAGGTAAATCATAAACCTAATATCTTTCTAGGAATTCAATAATTTTAGCTTACCCTGTTTTTCAGACTTCTTGATTGGAGGTTTAGAATATTTTCTGAGCTTCTGAAGTTTATATGCTGAGTTCCTTTTTCCTTCTCAAGCTCAGTTAATTGGACTAGATAAGCTGCATGACTCCAATTACAGTAGCACAGGATAAGCGCAATTTGAGACCGGTGGCTTTTACAATAGAGATACTGAAAATGCTAAGGTTCACAAAATGCAACATTCTTAGTCATTATCTTGTAAGATATTTAACTACTCAATTTTGAGTTTGAGTTGGGTTGAAAAACAAGCCCACTACCTTATTCTAAACCCAGCTTATTTTATGGGTACCTAACTGTTAATCTGCTCTGGAAATTGTCTGACCTCTTATATTTCGTTTGGGGGAGCTTCTGGGGGTGATTATAAGAAAATAATTAGAGATTATTTACTCTTGGCAATATTATAAAAGTAACTAACTTTAGTAATTTAAACTTGAAAGAACTAAACATCGTTTACATCTTAAGTTAAATGCTGTTTATTCAATCTTTCAAAAATGCTGCAGGTTCTTAGTATTGGTTTTATTCCAGCACATAGACTATCAAGAACATGGTATCTTTGAAATAATTTTCATATTTGGTGCTCTTTTATTGTGATAGAATTGTATCTGTTGTAATAGGATTTATTAAACTCTAAAAGTCTGAGATGCTTTGTATAGGATCCAAAAAATACAGACAAGGATTCTGGAAGAATGTCATAATTAAAATAGAAATCTTTTTCAGTATAGGCACACCCTTGAATCAAAAGAAAAGTGGTCAAATCATTGAAAGACTTTGCTGAAGACCATTTACCTGGGACTTTTCAGCTGGGATCACATGTTTATTTGTTTTCTGCATTATTGTACATAATATATTATACTGTATAGATGCAGACATTGGGTAATATTCGAGTATTCACCACATATTCACCATTTCTAGGGATCAGGAGGTCAAATGCATAGATTACATCAGTACCTTCGTTGTGATTCTGGCTCTGTCTTTCCACTTTCTAGAACTGATGATGATGATACCTACTGTAGAGCAGCCACCGAGTATGCTAGAGCCTGTTCCCATGCTGGCTACCCTATCCAAGGCTGGAGAGATGACTTCCCAGCATGCAGTATGTTTCCTTATTTTTTATGCCTTATGTGCTTTGGTTAATTTTAGGCTTAGCCTAGTGCTCAAAACTGGTGAACTACAAGGATTTGTTATTGATGCAGGAGCATTGGTAAACTTGCAAGCTTTTTGAAACACTAACTTTTTTTTGGAAAAAGAGACAATTAGAGTTGACTTACAGGCCCCCTGTTTGCCCATTTCAGCTGATAAATGTGATGATAGCTTTGTCCATCGGGATTGTATCAGCTGTTGCCCACCCACCTGCACATTTGACAGACAGTGTCTTGGGAGCAATCTCCAATGTCTTGATGGATGTTACTGTCCAGATGGTAAGTGTTTCATGAAGGAAACCATGTCTACACGCATGGAAATTAGCATCCTGTGATTTGAGAATTACGTTGCCACATCCTCTCCCAGGGCATTTATTAGGGCTTTTGCAATTTTCTACCCTTGTAGGATTTGGTTTTATTTTGGGCTGCTTTTCTGTAAGAAAAGGGCTTATTGCTTTGTAAATTTCCCAGGAAATTTGGAATCTGGAGTCCTGAAGTTACCCATGCAAATTTTTTTTTCTGTTGCATATTTAAAGATATTTAATAATTTATGAAAGCAATTTCAGAAAAAAAGCCTTCACATGTTGGCAGCACAAGATTTTAGTCCTGATGTAGTTTTAGTATTTGAAATTAGAAGTAATATAGCAAATGAGACAGGTGGGATTAAAATTTAGGAATGACGTCTATACTGATAGATCTTTTTAAAGAACACTGAGGATTCACTCAAACTTTTTTATTTTTACAAATTAAGAAAAATAGAATCCCAGAGATGTTAAGTGATTTTACCACTGTCATATAGTTAATGTGAGTGAGGAGTACTCGGAATCAGATATGTTGACCTTGGTTCATTGCTCTGTCAGTGCTACTCAAAGTAGGATCTTTGGACCAGTGCCAGGCCTGAATTGTTTGTTACAAGTCAATGTTGAGATAAGGAGTTCGCACCAGAATGTAAGTCAATGCTTCCTTCATTTAGAAAGCCTTACTCAGAAGAAAGGTCAGATGAATGAAACAATGTGCTTAGTAACATAGCTGATTTACATTCTGGCTCAACCACCTTTACTCATTGGAGAGAATTAATAAAAACAGTTCCATTGTATTTGCCCTTTCAGTAGCACTGGCTGGCTATTTATTATATGTGTGATGATAGTGTAAATCTTTCCATTTTGAGATGAACAGAGATTAAACCAAGAATATATTTTCTCCTTCCCTTCCTCCTTTCTTTCTTCAAAAGAAAGGAAACAATATCTAGTCACCTTGATTCTATATGATGAACCTTGAGTTTTTAATGGCAAGTCATGGGATAAGAAAAGTTGAAAACCACTGAAATAGACATTTGTAAGGTAGCTGCTGATTGAGGCAGACTCAGGACATTGGTAACCTCCTTGAAAGTAAAGAAATTTGTATTTTATTACCTAGTGTAAGCAAGCGTTCAATAAAAGTTGCTTGAATTATTATATTCAAAGAACACAATCTATTATTTCTTTCGAAATTTGATATGTATTTTTCTTAACTAGGCCTCATAATGGAAAATGGAACTTGCATCCTCTTGGAAAATTGCCCATGTAGTTTTCATGGATTAGCTTATTCAGTTGGTTCAAAAATTGAACAAGAATGCACTGAATGGTATGTAATCAATGCACAGCCAGTTGTTTCTGGCTCCCTGGCTAGTTGACAACTTCACCATGACATGATTTAAAAGAATATGCTTATTACTGATTTTCTTCCAAAAATTCCAAGACACATTTGCATTTTATTTAAAGTCTGCACAGTGGTGGTGGTGGTGGGGTATTGATGTCTTCTTTTATGATGTAATTCTTCTCACTTCCCTTGATAATTCCATAAAATCTTTACCCATGTAAAGAGTCTGTTGCATTTTCTTATTATCTGTAATCACTAATTTGCACCTACTTTTACTCTTAAAACTTGATGGTGCTCTTAACTGTCTCTATTGAGTGCTTGAAAAACTGACTCTCCATATTGCTTGCCAATTTTTGACCATGAACTGAGACATTTAGAATTTCTTTTTAAATTAGTTAAGATGAGTGTAGGCAAGCATTCATTCCTCTGGGGCAGTCCTAAAAAGAAACAGAGATCTAAATATCATCAGGCTCTTTCCCCTTTGGTATCAATGTATATAGTGAAAATGCAATTGGATAACGAAGGCTATACTTAGATACTGATTTGAGTTTCTGCCTTTCACAGGCTGCTTCGGTCCTCCCAAACTCCTATCTTTTTGATGGTAGAATTTATCTTACATAAGAAGACATCTTTTCTCTCTTTAATGTCTGATGATCCTCAAGCCAATTTTCTTAATTTGTAGTAGATAAGTTAATTTCCTAACTCTTTATGCATAATAGGAAAATACTGTTTTTGTGTGTGTGACCTTTTTTTGTTTAAGTGATGAGAGAAGGAAAAAAACAGAAGTTCTCTGTTTGCTTAGTGTTCCTTTTGTATCATCTTTAGTGATTTTTTAAGTATGACGTAATACATAATTTAAATGCTGGCCAACCAAATTTAGCAGTTAATTGAACTTGTACAGAGAGAGATATGTTTTGAGTCTATAAACATGATATATTTTGGTGCATTAATCAATACATTGATGCAAACAATGCAGTTTATCTATACCAGTAGATTAATATTTTTATCACTTTATTTAGTGTATGTATTGGTGGAATTTGGAACTGCACTGAACATGACTGTCCAGGTAATCTTTTAAAACATTTTGAAAGAAAATGTCTCAATTTTTTTGAAACTGAGGAGGAAGATAGTTCTGATTTTTATGAGGTCGTCTCATATATTATAAGAGATGTGATGATCTATAAACATAGATATTCAGAGGATAAATGGAAAATTGAATAAATGATAATATTCAGTAGGCACATTTAGTAAAAAAATATTAAAATAGTAAAAATATTACAAAGCCTAAAATGTGGAAAAGCTATCATTTAGTAAACTTTAAATTAAATTGAATGACATAACTTAGTAAGTTTGTCAAACTAATAACTTTTAAACACTTTAGTTATTCTTTTTGATGCATGATTATTTACCATGATTATGTTGACGTCCTGCTTTTTAAGAATAAATCATTTCTTTCTCCTCCTTCTTTTTCTTCTCTCTCTCCTCATTTTCATTATGTTTTTGTTGTTAGTTCAATGCTCCGTTGTAGGTGATTCTCATTTTACAACTTTTGATGGTAGACATTATTCTTTTATTGGAATGTGCCAATACATCCTTGTGAAAGGAACTGGACAAGATAAATTCACACTTACTTTGCAGAAAGCTCACTGTGAGCAGGTAAGTATATCTCAAAAAGACCAGAGGAATGCTTGTTTTTATTTTTTTTTACTCAAAGTTCACATCTATCATTATCTTATATAGTACAAAGACAGAAAAAAATGTGGATAATTAATCTGCTATACTATTGATTATATGATGCATCCTAATTGTAGAGATATTGAAATGAGCACAAATATGTCTTAGATTAAATATTATATACTTAACTGCATTTTCTTTCTTAAAAAATATTATTCGTATGTATAGTTTTTTGAACATTTCATGCATGATTACACAATGGACCTAAGTTTTTGGTTACTTCAAAAAACACTATTTTGAAGAGATGATTTTTGACAGGATTAAATAGGTTTCATATTGTTCTAAATAGATAGGATAAATATCTTAGCATACGAAAATATTTATTTTAGATCTTTTCTTCAAATAAAGATATCAATAATTTGTAAATAAAAGCTCCCAGATCTCTCATTTCTCTAAATTAGGTAGCCAAAATTTTGCAGATATCTTTAATTTTATGGTGTTATTCCAGTATGAAATGGCTATTTCCTACAAAAATTATGAACTACTTTATTCACTTTTTGTCCAGTTTGAATTTATTTCCTTTGGAATACATATATCAGAGTCTGAATAAGCTTTTTATGTTGAATCCTAAGTGTTTTGTTTTTTTTCTTTTATGAATTTATTTTATGTCTTATATACTACTTAAGTGAATTTAGAGAGGTACTTGAACTACATGCTATGAATAACATAATTATTGGTACTTTATTGAAAACAATTTTATTTAATGTTCTATGTGAAATATATGTATGTACATATTATATTTAATGTACTATATAAAGATATATTGTATTAGTAATGAGGCTACATAAGATGGATTATGTAATTATTACTTTATTATTTATACTTAAGCCTTCTATATACAGAGGGTGCTAAAAATGTATAGATATTTTTAGAAAGAAAAAAGCTGAATTAAAATTGTAATACTCAATATATACAGATAACAAAAGATGAATACGAGTCATGTGTATACATTTTTTTGGCACCCTCAGTGCCAGAAATTTTTATTTATGTGCACTTTCTTTCTCCTTAATTCTCTCCTTTCATTCCCTCACCTTCTCCTCATTTTCTCTCCCATGGTCCCTGTCTCTTTCTATGTTTCTTTATCCTTCTCATTCCTTTAATTGATAATTTGATTTTCATGCAGAATCTTGGCTTGGTCTGCCTTCAGTCTATAAGTCTAATTCTGGAGGATGATTTGAACAAACAAGTGACCCTCAACAGGGGAGGACAAATCTTTACCAGCCCTAACCAAGGCTTCAACCTAAATGGTAAGAAGCAATGTTAATGGTGTACTTTCCTTACATTAAAACAACAACAAAACAACCTACATGAAATCTTCTCCCTTTAGCTGATTATTCTAACATTTGAGGACCTATATATTGCCAGTTCCTCAGCTAGACATAGTGGAGACCACCATGTTTATGGGACCTAGTGTTCACCTCAAGTGGCCCAAGTTTGGAAGGGGAGAGACATACACTAACAGCTGCTTTACTTAAAATATGATAAACTCAAAGAGATGTATAGGGCCTTTGAGGATCTAACTGAGTCCAGCCTCTGCACCTTGGGAGGTGCAGCTAAGATCAGGAAGGTTTTCTGAAGGAGGTGCTGTCTCACTGAGCATTTATAGCTGAAGACTGTTAGGATAAGAGGGTGAAGGTGTTCCATGCATAATAAAGAGGTGCAGAACTCTGGAGTATGTTTAGGTGGAACTATAGCTTGTTTGGCATTGCTAAAGCCTGAAGAGGGTAAATGGAGATGAGAACAGGGAAATAGGTGGGGATGAGACTGGGAAAGGCCTTAGATACAGGGCGTCATACATTGTGATTTACCTGGGACAGGCCCTGTTTATGTTTGTGTTCCAGTGTAATTATTTATAACACTGTCTTTCGCTCTCAGAAATGTCCCAGTTTGTATTAGGAATTACATGGCCATGCTATCATTATCATGCTAAGGAAGTTGAACTTGATATGAAATTATCAAATTTTACCATTTTTTTAAAGGATTTTATTGGGGAACTGTGTGTTTTTTCCAGGACCCATCAGCTCTAAGTCAAGTAGTTGTCTTTAATCTAGTGGAGGGTGCAGCTCAGTGGCCCATGTGGGGATCGAACCAACAACCTTGGTGTTATGAGCACTGTGCTCTAACTACCTGAGCTAACTGGCTGCCCCATATTTTACCATTTTTATGTACAAAGATGACAATCTCATTTGGTTCAGCCAAATAATGAGTTTTAATGAGAAGACTAATAAGACTTTTTTTTTTTTTTTTTTTTGTACAACACTGTGAAACAGCATGGAAGTGGCTTTGAGAGATACTAGACAGGAAACATAGAGAACAGTTAGGATGTTATTAAAGTAGTGCTTACAAGAAATGAGGAGGGACTGATCTAAGGCAGTGACAATAGAGATGGAAAGAAGACAGATTGAAAATTATTTAGAAAAAAAAGGTTTGAATTTGGTGATGGATTGTACTGGGGAAGGGCAGGCAACAGGGGGATGAAGTGATCAAAGAAAGATTCTCAGATTTTTGGGTTTGGTGGCCAAATGATGGCAGAAATTGTGAGAGGGCCACAGGAGCAACTCTTCTGGTGGCAAAAGTCATCCGTTCAGTCTTGAACACAAGTTTCTTGTCTCCAAAGGTTTCTCATAAAATGATGCTGCTCAAGTGCTATGCTCCGCCTCTTGCTGACAGCCTCAGGGGAATGGGAAATCTTTGAGGGAAGGGCCACTTCTTTATTGAATCATGACCAGTTTTGGGAAATATTCACACACACACACACACACACACACACACACACACACACACGAAAAGAGATCAGATTTGAAAGGGCCACTTCTTTATTGAATCATGACCAGTTTTGGGAAATATTCACACACACACACACACACACACACACACACACACACACACACGAAAAGAGATCAGATTTGAAAGGTCTAAGGATTGTCTTCCCTTGTGTGAGATGCTTGCCAACTAAAATTAGTTGCAGACCTGACAATCTATTAAAAATATCTACTTAAGACCCAGAAAGGGGGGACAGAAGGGAAACGGGAGGAAAGAAAGCAGGCACACAGCGGCAAAAATCGGCCCCAGAGCCCAGGGGCAGGAACTGGTAAACTGCCTCCCCCGATTCCCAGGTTTAGAGCCCTGGTGTTGCATGCTACAATAGCACTTCAGAACACTGCCTCTGAATCTCAAAGCTGATTTATATATGTTCTTTTCCTGCAGGAATTGTTGAAATTCAAACTCTGTCATCCTTATTTATTCTTCTAAAAACCACATTTGGTTTAAAGATTCTGTTTGCTATAGATGGGGAAAGAATTTATATTCAGCTCACCAGTGCATGGAAAAGGAGAACATTAGGTCTGTGTGGCACTTTTAATGGGAACATAAGGGATGATTTCCTGTAAGTATGATTTCGGTACAGCTAACATGATTTAAGGGCTAGTAATTTAGAGAATATAAATTCTTTCATTAAAAATCTTGAATAATACAGCTTCGTCATCACTGTTCCAAGAGCTTCACCTGGATCCTTGTATTTAAATTTTGTAACAGTCCCCATGATTAGCGTTTCTGTTTTATAGATAAGAAAATGAACTGAAGCCCCAAAGTGGCAAATACATAGCTCAAAGTCACTCAGTTCAAATATAGTAAAATGGGCTTTGAATGTAGGGGGCGTGATTCAGAGCCTGTGGGATAACTTACAGAAGAACTACTTGGTATTCTTGCCCCTGCCCCCTATCAAGCTTAACAGTATTTTAAAAAATGTTAATGTTATTTGGTATTAATGATAGCAAATTATACCCCAAAATATTGATATTTTTAGTATGAATAATACTTCTAAAGTAACATTTTGGCATCTATGTTTGTTGGATTTTGTGAGAGTTGGTGTTTCATTGGAAGAAAAGCAATAAAATACATTTGCACCCCTTGTATTGACAAAGTGCTTTCACCTACATGTAAAAAGAAAGTATGATTTAGTGTGAATGATTTGAGCACCTGTTACTGTACTAAGCATGGCGGGGCAATTTAAGCAGTATGATGTGGTTCCCATCCTCGAGGAGCTTGCATTGCAGATTGGGAGGGGATGACAACCACTTCTGCATGTTCCTCCTGCTTGGGGTTCTCTCTGCATCCCAATCTTTTTCATGAATTCCTATTTATAGTTCAACCCAACTCAGACATGATTTGCTTCAACAAGTGAGTTCATATCATATCAACAATTTTGACTCTGTTGTCTACGGAACTCCATCATTTATCTGTCTGGTTTTCACTTAAAACAGTGAGGGCTTTGAGGACAAGGATCACATCCTTGATGCTTGTTGTCTTAGGAATTAGCATAGAACATTATGTGCAGTTGATAGTTGAACTGAACAGAGGCAGGGCTTTTAATGGGACACCAGAAAGAGAATTAGGATGGGAAAGGAGAACTGGCATGTTTAAAAATTTCAATTTCAAAAGAAAATGTCTTTTATCTTGTCTCCTGGGTAATTAATTTGTTTTTAGTCTATTTAGGTTTTTTGTTTGTTTCATTTATTTGTAGGTCTGAATATCTATATCTTTATCACAATAGTGAAACAGAAATTATATTAAATGACTTCGCTTAGATGTGCAAAAAAGATGTTACGCCTTCTTTCTTTTCCTTGTTTATCAGAATGGGTTAGCAGTCAATGTTTAACAGATGGCAGATCTGTCTGCCTCTTCCTAAGGCACCAGTCTCCGCCACATATAAACATTCAGGCGTGATAACAGTGCAGGATAATATTTCAGAGTTGGAGATAACTTTCTAACATTGTTTGTCTTTCCAGCATAAGCCGTTAAAATTCTTTACTTCAGAGAGGTTAATGAGAATCTGCAAACATAGTGGAATGGGAAATATTAACTACTTGAAAATTTATTTTGCATACCTTGTTATAATACGTTAACTATGTTGAGCCAAACGGTTAGCTTAAAAAATGAAATGCAATACATAAATGGGTCTCCATTTTAACTCCTGATTTTTTTGTTTTGTATTTATTGTTTTAAGTGAACTAAATGAAATAAGAGAGCCAAGCTCTGAGTCAGTGCCCCCTGGGAACCCTGACTACACCCATCACCTTGACCTATTTTGTTGTCCTTTGTAGGAATGAAGAGGAAAGGGCAGGGAAAGAATGAGAAGAGCTAGTGCCGTAATACAATTTCTTTGCGTTTCAGTGTCCTCATTTGAACAAAATGAGATTTTGGATTCAGTGTTTATTATAATTCTTTACAGTTCTAGAGTGGTTTAGTTTTGAGAAATAGGAAAAGGGAGGAAAAGGGAAAGGGTGGGGACAGGCGCTGGGCATTGTAGAATGGCTTGTGCAGCTCCCTTTTTTTCTCCTCTCTCAGCCATTGTGGGGAGAAATTGCATGTAGTTGATGGTGACTGAGCTAAATGGTAACTAAAGCAGTTTGTTTATTAGGCACTATAGAGAGCTGAGATAAAGCCTACTCTATCATTTAGCCATGTTGTAGCAATTAATGGAGTTAAGGCTTGTGTTCTTCAAGTTCTGCTTGGTCTACAGGAGAGCTAGTCTAACCTGATTCTCTAAGTAGTTTTGATGGTGTCTGGCACAGTGTCTCATAGCAATCGCCACTAAATATTAGCTGATGAGTTAAGAAATCTTGATGGCTGCTGGAGGGGGCATTTTAGTGTTTGGCTATTAAACATGGTTGTGGTTTATAAGCCTGACTTCAGAAGAGTGAATATTTTTCTTCCATTTTGGTTTGCTGAGGGAACTGAAAAAGTGAGCAAACTTTGATGAAGGTTGGCTTTTGTGCCATTTTCCCTCAATTGTCACTTGGTTTGTTTGCCCAACTTCATGATGACACTTCAGTATTTCAGGCCTCATAGTAGAAATTGAAATATTTATCCAGAATTATAAGCTTTATTCTTTGAGACATTTCTCTTTACCCTGAAAGGAATTATGTGAGCTACCTCTTTCCATGCACTGTAAACCACACGTACATTAATATTTTGGTTGTGTTTTGTTAAATTGATACAAATTGGATTTGAATCTTGGCTCTGACACTTACCAGCTGAATGAATGTTAATATTTACCTGAGCTTCTGCTTTGCTTTCTCTCTAAATGGGGATAATGATGTTTTCTTTACAAGGCTACGGTGATTATTATATAAAACAGTGTATGTCCACAATTTGACACATTCTAAAATTTATAATAAGAGGAAGCTTATACCATGTATATTTAAAAAAAAGAACATTTCAAATTCTAAGATGGCTCTGTAAATTTAAAAAATAGTATTCTCTTTTTTTCAATATGTAAAGACTATGAACAAATGAGAGGAATGGGAGAAACTAAGAAGAATATTATCTTTGCTTCCTAGCTCTCCATCAGGCATGATAGAAGGTACACCACAACTTCATGCAAATGCATGGAGAGTTTCCTCCACTTGTTTTGCACCTGTTCACGTCCCTATGGTGGACCCCTGTAACATTAATCAACAAAACAGTAAGTCTTTTTTTCTGCTTATAAACTTAGGGGGAAAGTCTACGTATTACTGCAATCTTGTAAAATTAGTGATTTTAAATTATTATTTTCTTTATTATGATAAAATAGATGCCTTTTCTTATATATTTTTGTTTAATACTTTGCCTTTACATATGCCTCATTATGTAATGTAGGTTGGTTTTTAAAAAGCATTCTAGGAAATGACAATTTATTTATTACTTTGTATTCATAAATTTACTTATTTTAGGTGTTTAGAAATCCCTAAATTCTTCCCAGATGTGGGCTAGCATGTTGGAGAGTTCAGATTATTTGAATGCTAAAGAAAAATCTCTGGAAAAGCTCTAATAATGCTGTTATAGCCTTCAGATGTTTGACTTCAGTTCCATAGTATCACAGCTCATGTTGATTGTCCTGTTTATTACTATTGCATTATGAGTTCCTACTCATAGTTATATTATGGCTTTGTAAATAGGAAGCAGTTCCAAAGAAGCTTTGTGCCATCAAGCGTGTAACAATTTGAGATGGTCATGCTCCACAGTTACAATTTGCAATGACATTGCAAGTCACATGCCAAAAATTTTTGGCTTTTTTTTTTTTACTAAATCTATAGCAAACCATGTGAAAGGCTATTTCACTGCTCAATAAAAGAAGACATATTATTATTATTTTGTAAAATCACTTTGTGAAAAAAGTATGCGTGCTTAGATTAAAAAATTTTTTTAGTTTGTTTCTTTATTTTGTCGAGTTTACTGTTTTTATGTAGTTTATAAAAAATACACTATTAATATTGGTTGAGTACCCATGAGAAGCCAGAATGATTTCTGGATTTGTAGTCATTGTTTGGGAGGATTCTGTTGATTGTCATATGGTCCTTATTAATAACTTATAGTTTTAGTCTACTGGAAAAACATAAGACAATGCTGCTTTTAGTGCTTTTTATTTAAACCAACTTCTAAGCTTGAAGAAGTTTGTTAACCTTTTTGGTCACTTTTTCTATCTATAATAAGAGGCCTAGGCTAAACTCTTTTGGTCTCTATGATTCAGTACCTTTATCTCACTCCCACTTAACAACACTTTCCCCCATTCTGTCCTTAACTTTCTATTAATAGATTTACTCCTTCTCCTTCAATTAGTCTTGCTCAGTTTGTTTCTAACTTTCTCAGTTCCCTCCTGATATTGCAGCAACTTTATTTTTAATTTCTTTAATAAATAAGAGTTGGAGTAGAATCCAATTGATGAATTCAGCTTCCTAAGGTCTTTTCTTTAATTACCTCCTTTATTACATGTGATATATCTATATATCTATATCTATCTATATCTATATCTATCTATATCTATAAAATCACCTTTATCCATATATCTTATGTCTTCTCTGATATATATTTTAGATGTTATCCTTCTTCACCTTTGTCATGAACTACTTTTTTTTTTAATTTCAAATAGGTAAATTCAGAAAAATCCTCAAAGAAAGGAAAATAAATAGATAAAAGGCATTAACTCTGATGTGGATTCTGAAAGATTTTTTTTTTCACAAGGATCTTGTTGAGTCACTCTTTTACTTTATGTCAGTAGGAATATTTTTTGATCTACAAATCCTTAGGGCACAAAAGCCCCACTGACATACTGCTTTGCTTTAGAGCTCCTGGGGATTGGGAATATTCATGCCAAGAGTATGTTGTTGGCATCTAAGTCATTTGTTTTCATATACATATGCAGAACAATGCAAAAATATTGGGTTGTTGGAAAAGTCATGATGTATTTTTCTACGTTTTTCATTGCAAAAATGCGTCATGACTTTTCTAACAATCCAATATAACACTCAGATAATTGCTATGTGTTTCCTTATCAATAATAAATATATTTAAAATACTCAACAAAATAAGTTCAGTATAATTCCTTAGTAGTAAAAACATTCTGATCTCTGGCAGCTCATCTGGTCTCTCAAAGACAATGACAACTCCAGGATTGATTAATTTTTGCTCTGAGGAAATCAATGAAACCTATGTCTACTACATTAAAGAATCACATAGCCTTTTTCAGAAAGGTGGGCTTTGGATTGTTTTGTCAAACTTTATTATTTCCCATAAAGAATTGTATCTGATTAGCCATTCTCTAGGGAAAGGTCAACAGATTTCAAGAAGTGGTTAAACACACCCCCACTAAAAGGCTTGGTAGTTATTTCTCATGGCCTTGAGGATATGTTCCAATCCCTAATTTCTATCCATTATTCATTTATTCACACATTTATGGATTCATTTCTCAAACACTGCATTGTGCCTTGTGCAGACCTTATGTGCAATGACTCTGTGGCATCTGCCGCATTACCATTCACCTCAGAGACTCCACTGGAATGAGATAATTCCCAACCCCGCTGGATAATTGTGTATTCCAGGGAGTTGCCATAACCTCCACAATCTGGCACCACTTTTACTGTGTGAGGATGTCTGGAGATAAGAATCCCACTACTCACCAATCCTTTAGAGTAGAATTGGGGTGATTTCCTAAAATAATCCTCAGGCATGATGGGGTGATTGAGGCTCTTCCAGCAACCTTTCTGTTACTCATGTGATTCAGATAAAACACAGTATTTGTTTTTGCCAAAATGTTATTGAATATAGATTAAGTGCCGTCACTAGTATTACCAAAAGTAAAAACAAACAAACAAAAACAGTGTAAGTTGAAAATATTGGATCTTATTAAAAGCAACACAGTGTATTTCTAGGAAAGCCAGATGCTCAGATAGTTCTGGAACTTGATATGTAGGATTAAGATCTGGACTCGTAAATGAGGTGCTAACGGGGTGCTTTGTCTATTAGTTGGATACGCAGCACACTGTGATGTTATCCATCAGGAACTCTTTGCTCCCTGCCACTTCTACGTTAGCCCTGGGTTGTACTATCAGCTCTGCCGCCACGATGCATGCAAGTGTGGGAGCCCCTGCCTGTGCAATGCTCTTGCACACTATGCCTACCTCTGCAGCCAGCGTGGCGTTACCATTGATTTTAGAGCTCACGTCTCATTCTGTGGTGAGTATGATGTTGAGAGCACAGGTACAGACAACCAGAGAACACTTTAGAGATTTTTGCATTTGTAATTACTGCTTACATCTCTTTTAAAATGAAAGCTCAATATTGCTGAAATTATTTGAAATACTATTATAATGGATAAACATGAAAAACACATGTTTCTTAAAGTTGGGGATATATTGGATAAGATCAATAACTTTTGACTATTTTTGTTATAAGCAAACTTAGAGTGTAACTGTATGGTTTGAAATATGTAACAGAAGTAATTTGAAAAATGTGACAAAATTCTTCTAGAATTTTCATATCTAAATACTAGAAGGTATGGAAATGCATTATGTGTTTTAGTGACACAGCTGATTTGTAGTTAAATAGGCAAGTTATGCAACAGCCAAGTATTATCTCAAGGTCTCAGTCCTCATGGTTATGCTGTCTGCTGTTCTCATTCATGGTAGATTGCTTCCTTTCCTTATGTGTTCTGGAATTTTGTTATGAGCTAATGTTTGTTAGGGATTTCCCCCACCCTCCATTAGAATCCTTTATGCCTTGGGCTTCAAGGGCATCACTCTCTCCACCTCTCAACCCCCCCCCCCCAATTGTTTCTAAAAGCTTTTTCCTATCACTCCAGAAAGTTCACTGGCCAATTTTGATGTTAATTTCCCAGCTTGGGGTTTCTAAGCCAACAATAATGTAAATTTAAAAGTAATGTAAATCCATGTAACAAACCTGTGCAGGCTGTAAATCTAGGATTTTGATTTTTTGGAGGATATTTTATTTTATCACAGAACCCACAGAGTTAGAGGCTTTCCTAGCATCTTTCTGTAGTATGGGTAGATTTCTTCTAGTCCAGGAGTTGGCAAACTACACCCTTGGGTGTCCTGTGTTTTTGTAAATGAAGTTTATTGCCCATTTGTTTACATATTTTCGAAGGCTGCTTTTGAGCAACAAGGGCAGAGTTGAGTGGTTGTGACAGGGTGTCTGTATATCCTGCAAAGCTGAAACTATTTACCAGAAAGTTTGCTAACCTCTGCTACAGTCCATCTTTGCCACTGAGGATGGAGCATTTTTGAGGGCCCAAGTAAAGGGTCCCTCAATTCCTTGCCTTATAAAAGACCAAGTTTCGTTTTCCATTCCCACAGAAGTTAAATCTAAGGTCCAACAGGTAGATCCTCCTCTCCTCTATTCAAATTTCTGGGGTTTATTTCCCTTTTCACTTCTGGCATCTAAGGATGTTACTCCCTCACCTCCCTTTTATTTTCTCTCACAAGATCAATTATGCATTTAACATAATTTTGGTTGTCTTTTTTCCCAGTATTTCCCGGGTGTTTCAGTTTGCCTACTGTAATCAGTTAAGTTGGGTCTAAAAAAACATTGAAAGGGTTTAGAAAAAAGTATAAACATGATTAAGAAGGCAAAAAATAAGAGCTATGAGTATGGATCAATAACGTCAAATTTTGTCTTATTTGTAGAAGACTAAACGTTTACTTAGGTTTAAATAAGGCCATAAAGAAGATAATGTCAGCATAGCAGTACATAGATTTAAAATGTGCAGACAGGAAGTTTATTTACACATATAAAATACCTTAAATATTTTTAAAAACTGTGGTACAGGCTATTAAAGAATGTTATGGAATGTCACACTTAGCACTATTTCAAAATAGAAATTTTATTTCTCTGTTACATTTCTATTGAAGCAAAGATGGTTTCATTAACTTCTGTGACAGGATTCTGCAATTTTCTAGGTTTGTTGATGTGTGATATCTTTTTCTTTCTCACGATTTGTATCTGTCTTTGACCTATAACCCAGAGTAAAATGCTTCTCTACTTTGTGCAAATGTCTCTTAACTGGTGCTCCTGTGTCCTCAGGGGTGGTGTGCCAGAAAGGCATGCTGTACCATCACTGCTCCTCCTTTTGTCACCGCTCCTGCATTTCTCTCTCGTCCCTGGAACAGTGTAACGATGATTGTGCGGAAGGCTGCAACTGTCCTGAAGGCAAATACTATGAAGACACACTTAACTTTTGTGTGCCCATGTAAGTCACAGAAATTAATGGGTTGACGGCATCCACTTTTTATCTCTTACACAGTAAATGGGCTTTCATGCTTGTTTCTTTTCTTTCTTAATCTAACTGATGCAGCACCATTTATTAGAAATAAATAATTTTTCTCATTATTGAACAGTCACTTTTTTCCATAAAATAGGTGTGTATATCTGCAAAGATCTGCTTGTGAGTCATGTCTTTAGTATTTCTTAATGTCTTTATTTATTTTTAGCCCTGTACATGTTTACAAACAGAGAGAGTTAAGGAATCTGATGGTTAATTCTGGAGCATATTTATACTTCTTTTGACCATATTAAAATTAATAACGAGGTTTATGTTTTACTGTCATGTGGCAAATTTTAGGAGCAGCATTGCAATGTCCGTCAGCTCTCAGAAACTTCTCAAATATCATGTGACATAGAAGCTTTTGTCTTAAACATAGGGTTAAATGGTATATCAGTTAGTTTCCCTGAGGTGCATTCGGGGACTTTTTTGTGACTAAAACAATCTGTATTGTGACTAAAACAGTGCAGATTTTCTATCTTAGGAAACAAAATTTAAAGCTACATAAGACTTCACATTTAATTGGCTTCTGCCATCTGTGTAACAGAATTATATGTAGTCTCATAGAATAATGCCATTTTTAGAGTGTGCTTTAAAATTACCAACACAGAGCATAAGGTCCTCTTGAATTTTAGGTTTTTTTTTAATATATATACTATTTCATTAATTTAATTTAACCTCTTTTTTTTTTTTTCCTTATAGATTTCATTGCCGGTGTCATTATAGGGCCAGCATTTATCAACCTGGAGAGCTCATCCCAACACCCTCAGGCTTATGGTAGATTTCAATGATAGTGATTGTACTTGACAAATATGTACTAATATAAGTTCTTAACTGAATCCATAAATTAAAATATGACTATTGTAATTTAAAAAATACAGATACCCTTAAGGTAACTTAAAACCATATATATGGCTTTAAATATATATACATATACATATACATACACACACACACACACACACACACATATTACATTTCAACATGGAATGCCTAAGTTGTATTCATAACTGCAGAAAAGAGGTATGAATTGAAGTGTCATGCAGTGAAATGGAAGCCCTTTGATCGATTTGGTTCTTAGAGAGTAAGAGTGAGATAGATGTGCAAATAATGCAAGTTACTGAGGGGTTTTAGTTTTGTGGTTCATCCACTGGCTTAAAAAAAAGCAATTCCAAAATGGATTTAACCATATCACATGCTGGTGTCAGGGTACTGCTTCCCTAGGGACATCATCAATCCTAGTGAGATGACACTTATTCCTAGGAGAACACTCATTCAGGTAGTAACCTGTCAAAAATACAGACACATCCATGCAGCAGTCCACACTGATCTACATCCAACTCTAATCTCCCTCTTCTACCATAGGTCCCCACAGCTAAAACTATCTGTACACAGTAGATAAAAATATCTACTGGTAAAACATAATGATAACAAAATGATGTCTCACTATTACTATGTGCTTTCTGTAGTCCTGGACCATTCTAACTGTTTTATGTCTATTATTAATACACTTACTTTTCACTGTAACCCTAAAAGATAAGTACTGTTGCTTTATCCCTAGTCTACAGGTGAGGAAAATGGGCACAGGCAGTTAAGCAACTTGGTAGCGAAGCCGAGATGGAATCTCAGGCAACGTGGCTCCGCAGTGATTGTTCTCTTGCCTACTTTGCTCTGCAGCTTGTTTCATTTTCACAGCAAGATATTGTCTGTGCTCAATTTGCCTTTACGGTTATCTCCATCTCCTTTCCTTCCACCCCTAAATCAAGATACAAAGGCAACCAGCCCTTGGATCTTCCTCTTAGTTTGTACTACTTAACCACAGTTTCCTAAGCCAGAAATACGAGTCATTTTTGACTCCTTCCTCCTGCTTAATACCCCTAACTAATAAACTCCCAGTGACCCTGGATTCTACTTTCTGCATATATATAGTTGAAATCCCCCTCCTTTCCATCACCACTACTTAATAATGTCTCTTTACCATCTCTCTCCTGGACCTTTTTACCTGGTTTTCTTGCCTCTAATCCTGTCCCCTTTCATTTTGCCAAGGTGTTATATAGCTCTCTTGAATTTAACATAATTGAATTTATTTAAGTAAATTGGCAAAAAATGAAGCAGTTATTCTTCCTTAGTGAGAAAAAAAATCTGATTAGTGTAGTGACCTCATTTGCCATTCCTCTCAAAAAGCCTGTCCCAGAATGAGTATGATATGGAAGAGCTGGCTATCTGTCTCAGCTTGTCTCTGCCATCCTCACTGTGAGTAAATCCAACTCTGGGTGTCATCCTTGTGTTAGACAATATATAAGCATATTTTTTCTGTGACATGACCCTTATATATCTATCAGTCAGCTTCTTCATCTGGGCTCAAACACCTGGTCCAAAGCTGGAGAAAGAAAAACTCTTTATGGTGGAGTTATTGAGAACTGGTGTGTTGTTCCCTATCATGATATATTTTTATGAGATCTTCAAGATTACTTTTGCCTGCCTTATACCACGACTTTAGAACTTAAGTTGCAAGGAAGATGTGACTACATTCTATCTTCAATGCTGCTGCCAAAAGGATTTCTCTAGAATTCAAACCAACCATATCACCTCTCTGATTAAGATCAATGGCTTAAAGTACCTCAGGGATAAAGTCTCAGCGTCTCAGTAGGAGGTAGTCTTTGCCTCTATGCCATCTGTATCTCCCGTCACTTCCTGTATTGCACTTTGTTACATAAAACATTGCTCTACCCCTGCATGGCTTTGTGCTATGTTACAGCCTTTGTACTTGGGTAAAGACTATGAATTTTGGTCTTTGTATTTCCCTTGCCTATCACAGTGTCCCACACATATGTTCGATAGAAATGTGTTAAACTGAAATAGCTCTCTTCTAATTGGACCTAAGCCAATACCTTATTTGTAAAAAATTCCATGGGAAAAAAATGACATTAGTATATGTACTCAATCAATTCTTACACATATATTGACTTTGATATACAGAAAAGTACTGAAGTTTGGATTCATAAATTATTTGTTTACTTTTACTAGCCAATGTTCAAATGGAACTGTGAAATGTGATGAAACAGCAACGCCCTCTACTGGTAAGATAGACATAGATGTTTTCCTTAAGGAGAATGCAGCTCTACTACTCCCCCAACTTTTCTCAACGTGTTGCTCCTAACTGTTTTTTCACATTGGAAATTATAATATTTGTAAGACAGTCTGCTTAGCGGCACATAAGACTGCTTAGGGACAGAGCTCATCAAGCCAGGATGCTGCCTAGATGCTGCCTACCCCAGAACAAGCCCAGGTACCTCAAGGGCTTCAGGGATATATATCCAGGTATCTGTTGTGACTCTCTTGTGCAAAAGCAGTGGAGAAACTACTGTAGACCAGCACTTCAGATTTTGATGTGCACACAGTCACCCCGGGATCAGGTTAAAATGCTGATTCTTACTCAGCAGGTCAGGGGTGATGCCTAAGACTCTACCTACATTTCTATTGATGGCCAAGGTGATGCCAGTGCCAACCATTCCTAGGCTACAGTATGAGTACCAGGGCTCTAGGACAAGCAGCCATCACTTTCAAAATGGCATGTAAAATGACATCTACAGCCATCTCTTTTTAGGATGTCATTTTATACTTTCATGTAATTCCTGGAGATCTTGTATAATAGGGAATGCTATGTTATTTATGTTATTTATTTTCACCATAGAAAAAGCCTCAAATTTTTAGTCACTGTGGAGAAATCTAGACAAAAAATAAACAACTCTACTTTAATTTATTTTAGTGGACAGGAAGAGTGTAGGCTGATGAAACTAATTGTGAGCTATTGTTTTGTTATTTATTCGCATGGCCATGTATATATTATTATAGATTAGCTTTGGATTATATGCTCTGGATTTACTTTATGAAGATTCAGACTACATAGGGCTTCTCACAGGGTATGTTCATAGACCACAACATATTAGGTGTCTACTGGGCCATCCCTGCCTTCCGCCATTTGCTTCAGGGTGGCTCAGAGTTAAACAAGGAGGAAATTCAGGTGATCAGATTTCTCACTGAGGAACACACAAGATTTGATCCTTTTTACCCCATACAAGGCAGCTTATTTAATCTCTCTGAGCCCAAAATCTTTCTGGAGGCATATATAGTTCCTAACCTACCTATTATTATGTCCACTTCTGTACATCTACAATACAGTGAGGACTGATGTCAATAACGACTCAGAGGTGCAGCGAGATCTAAAAGTGTCATGTGTTCATTGTAAACGCATGGATTTGTAAAGTTTAAATATACTGACTGTCATTCTTCAAAAGTTGATGACACATGTTTGGATTAATCAAAAGACCCTGTTTGTTGAGCTCAGAAAATTATATACTGGTTGTTTAGTTATTGCCTTCTGAAAGACAGCTAAGGCTTTCAAACTCAAAATAGGTTTTGGAAATTTAGGTGACTAAAGGGAAGCTGACTAGAGAATGTTTGTAAGTGGATTAACCAAACATCACGGAGTAAAAGAATCATCTAATAATAACTGGTAAAATATTCTACAGTGACTTGTGTTTTGATGACAAACGCACTTCATTATGATTATCTGTCTATGGAGCAAATATAAACTTAATGGTACTTTGTCTGTGCCTTATCCCTGAAGTTCACGCCTGCCCCGAGGGAAAAGTATATTTCGACTGCAGGTTTCCTGACCCTGAATTACCAGCTGGTGGTGTCAATTGTGAGATTACGTGTGCAAATCTGGCCATGAACTTCACTTGTGCCCCATCCTCACCGTGCATAAGTGGTTGTGTTTGTGCTCCAACGTAAGTCTATTTTTTTTTTGATAAAACAGAACATTAAGGATTGAATAGAAAATACAAGAGCACTTAAAAACATTATTTACAGAAATAGCTAAAATTGTTGTTCTAACTGGTGGCTAACCACCAGTCAACCAGACCACCGCTTCTAGTAGGTAACTAGAAGACTAGTGTAATAATTGTTCTATGTTCATGTAACATATCACCTATGTTATCTGTGCGATATTATATACTGCATATAACATGTGATTAAATAATGTCACACATATGTTATGTATATGATGTTATTAAAGCATACTGTGTGTACAATATTATTAAGGTACCACAGTATTAAAGTATTAAAATAGTATTAATCAGTTAATATAGTATTAAAGTAATATAGTAAATTGATAAGAGAACTCATTTCAAGATGGACTTGGCATGTACTCCCTGATTCAACTGCAATTGCGCAAAAGTGATAGTGGGCTATTCTTCATTGACAATTTTTAAGTGCATATCTTCTGTATATTCTGTTGTGCTGTTACTATTGATGTTCAGTTTTAATAGTGATTCCAACTACTTTATCTAATGGATGTTACAGGAACTGGTGTGTAGAAGCAGCATAGGGCAGTGGGTAAGAGGGGAAGCTCTGGCTCAGACATACCAGAGTTCAAATCCCAGCTCTGCTGCTAGCTGAGTGATTTTTCTGCAAGTTTCTTTAAAGCCTCAATTAGGCATTATGAAACGTGTGTGTGTGTGTGTGTGTGTGTTTGTGTGTGCTCAGTAAATATGGGTTACTGTTCTATGGCAGTATAATCTACCCTTATCTTTGTAAATTTCCTTTAGTATCAGGAATGCCTAGTACACGTGCAGGTAAAGACAGAATCCGGTGCTATTAACTTCTTGCAGGCACACATATAATCTGCACACATTGGCCCTCCCTCTCCTGCTAATGAATAGAACCAGTGCTCAGAGGGAGGGCCACCTAAGGCAAACAGGTCACCCATTCTTCCTTGATGAACATATTCACACAAAGGGATTCCTAGGCTCAGTTCATAGAAACCATGAGCAATGAAGAGAGAGGTTTTGTGGTTTGTTTCCCCAGAGAGTTGCATTTGTCTAAACAGTCCCCATCTAGAATAGGTCTAAGAGACAAGTAACTTGGGACTGTACCAATCTCTTTAGAGAGAAAGGACACAGGAGGAAGCTGAAAGAGCAAGCCTGCATGGGAAAATAAAGGCAGGTAGAAGTGAGGCTAGAGCAGATGAGCAAGGAAGACATTTTAGTACAAAGGACCAGGGAAATAGAACACTTGCTATGATAGATAATTGAAACCCACAACATGGCTTGATTTATTTGACTTGATTATGACTCTTACAGATGCATTACTGATTAGATAAAGCTACATCCTAATTTTGTTTCATATGCTTGTGGTTGATGCTATCATTTAAAAAATATATCTATTTGCTGTCACCTCTGGCTTCAGTTTGACAATGATTTATTTATTTACTGATCAAATCTCATTATAAAAACTTAAAGAAATTTTCTTCCATCTTCTATTATTGTATTAAATAAACATAGTTGGAATTGACTAAGAGGCCTCTGACTGATTTGGATATAATTTTATTATACAGAACTTGCTATTATAAAGTTGTTTATAGTAATATGATTTGGATTGTCTTCCACGTGACCTTGGCTGGCTTATTTTAGGATGGTAAGTCTAGTATAACTTGTTTCCAAGAAACCCCTGATAATGCCTGCAGTTCGCAGAGGGAACTATAAAAGGACTATAGAAATCACTGTGGTTTAGAAATCACTGTGGATTAAAGAAATGGAGAGTAATATAGTAGAAAGGGTTATATAGAATTGAGTTCAAATACTGGTCCTCCATCTTATTAACTGAAGTACATCTGGGCAGGTTACTTAAACACTTGAAGTCTCAACTTCCTCTTTTTAGAATGGGTGTAATAATATCCACTGCATGGATGCAGCACACTAATCATATGGTAGGTGCTCAGTGAATGTTTTTATTATTCCTTATCCCACTGCCCAAGCCTGCTTCATGGAGATAACTTACTAGGATTTCTAGCTTTCGTGTTCCTTCTTCCAGTTTTGAGTAGTTATGAAAACTCATCAGTCATTAGCATAACCACTTAAAGCCACTACTTTGCCTGGTTATATAGGAATTGTGGTTCATTTAGGTGAGGCATCCCTCATCTAAACAACTGGACAGCCAATGTTTATGAACCACATAATGTTTGGGATAGAGTGTTAAACTACAGGGATGGTGGGTACGGAAATGCATGTATAAGATAATGATAGAATCTACTTTATAGGGTTGTCACTAAGATTAGATGAGTTAGTGATGTATTGAAAGTGGTTAGAAGAGTGGCTGGGCCATAATAAGCACTGGAAAATGTTAGTTTTTGTCTATGTTTTTATGATCTCTGTTAAGACATTTAAAGAAGTACTTGCCATTTATTGTGATGAATTCTCCAATAAACATTTGTACAAATTGCTATGTACAGGGAGAGTGGGACATAAAAGATTGCACTGAAAAGCTTGTGCTACATTGAATTTTAAATGATGAAAAGAGGTCTTGCAGGCAGAGCAGGGGAGCAAAAGGGGTTCCCAGGCAAAAGAGAGATGCAATGTCCAGAGAAAGTGGCTCAAAGGTTGGGACAGTTGAGGTGAGAAATTATGGACTCTAGGGCATTTTTGTCTGAAAGAAAAAAACCTGAATGAGATAATGTATCATTTATATACATAGGCTCATTTATTTACCTTTACTCAGCTGTGTGTCTGCCATGTACTAGATATTGGGACACAGCCATTAACCAGATATTCATGATCTTCCCAAGTGGAGCTTAAAGTTAAGTGACAATGTGTACATTGAATGAGGAGTTCCAATACTGTGGCAGATGAGCTATGAGAGGGAAGCAGAGCACTAAAGGAATATATGTGATTATTTCTATTTGAGAGAAGAGGCAAGAATTGAGGATTCCCTAGTTTTACATTAATTTTTATAGCATTGAATTATGCCATTTTAAAACAAATTCAGAAAAAAAACCTTTATATATTTTATCTATTTTTAGTAGGTATTTATTTTTTTATTTTAGTATTACTTTATCAGTCATGTATTTTAAATTATTTTATTATGTTATGTTATTTTGTTTAAATTATTATATTTCTTATTATTTTACTATCTATGAAAGTAATTTTTGAAAAAAGATTTTAATAATATTAAAAACATATGCATATATTTATATTATATTGAAATATACACTATATAATTCATTTTTTAATCTTCATATTAAAATATTTTGATAACAAAATTAATTCTTCCTTGAGGTTATGAGTAATTATTTTGTTTTAATTTTTGTATTCATAGATATATTAAGATACTTTCTCATGAGGTAATTGTCCAGGAAGGCAATAACATTTGAAAGAAAACCAACAATGAAAACTTGATATAGTGATTTTTTTATTCAGAACACACCTGAACTAAACGCTCATGATTTTAACTATAAGTTCTTACAAAAGAAGCTTTTGATTCCTGTCTCTGTCCTCTAACAGAAAATGTTATCCATCTTATAATTCACTATTTTATCAAAAAATTGTTATACCCACAGTCTCTTTTCTCTTAAGTAGTAAATACTGAAGAAAGGGGCCCTTATTTCCATGTTAAGTTGTTTTTTTGTTTTGTTTTGTTTTGTTTTGTTTCAGAATAACTCACTTTATCCAGGAATTTAGACTTTTGTCTCCCTTATATTGTATTAAGTGGTAACAAAAAGGTTAAAATATTGCATCTAATCATTTGCTTGTCATTTATTTACTACTGTGATATGCAAGGCACAGTATGGAAAAAAGGGGCTAAAGACTGGATTCAACCCCCCAATAGGCCAGATAGAATGTGCCTATGACAGCTGTAATAAATATAGATGGTTTTGAATATGACAAGATGACTGACTTCTTTTAAAACTGAAATTGGGAGTTTACACTAAATAGCATTTATTCTTCATTTGGAAGACTGGCCGAGCACAAAGGAAAGTGTTACATTCCTGAGAGCTGTCCGTGTATCTGGAAAGATTGGGAGTACCTCTCAGGAGAAGTGATTTCTACACCATGTTATACCTGGTAAAGAGATTCATTTATTTGACAAAAATTTTCCTAATCAATTGTATTAGCTTCGATTATCTTGTATTTATTTAATGTGACTGACTTCAGCAAAAACCAAATCAAGCCTGAGTAAATAAGATTTTTAAAAGCATTCAGGCATTGTTGGAGAGTTACTGTCTGTAGGGGGATCATACCATTTAGTTTGTTCAACCCAGAGGAAAAGTGTGAAATATGATGATTTGAAAATTTAATAGGAAAAACATCTCCAGTTTATAAGAAAGTAATAAATATTCCAAAGCGAAGGTCACAATAAAAGGAATGTCTTCTGTTTGTAAATAAGCCAAAAGATTACCATAAATTAAAATAGAAATATAATTTTCTTAAAATGTGGATAAAAATTCTAAGCATGTGAACAAAATCATGTCTAATGTACAGTACTTAAATTGACTCAAGTATAAGAGATGGCACTGATGGTCTTTCGGCTACCTGCATGCCTATGTTTAAAGTTTTATTCCATCATCTGTTTTCAGTGTGACCTAGGTACAATTTCTAGGCTTGGTTGTGGTGTCTGATAATTTATTTAAACAAAGTGGTAAATACATACCTAATTTGTCAGAGTAATAAATGTTATCAGAATGAATTGGCAATGTTTATAAGGACTTAGTTCAGTGAATGTCCTTGAATACAAACCTTCCAATGTTTATATCACTTGAAAAACAATAATTAGAGCCACGTTTCTTAAAAAGGTAACTGATGTTATTTTCTAATAGTGTTTGTCGACGAGGCATGTTCAATTGCACATATTTTCCATGCCCAGCGGTGTGCACAATATATGGGGACCGGCATTATCATTCTTTTGATGGACTGGAATATGACTATATTGGTGATTGCCAGGTATTTTTGATAAAGGTATGTCATGATTACTTATGCTTTTATTTGCAACCATGTAAAGATATAAGAAGTCAAGTATGCTAGGCCATGGTATCTCAAATCCCTATGTCATTAATAAAACCTATAAAACCTATAAAAGTTAAACAATTATAAACTAATTTCCTAGTCTTATAAATATTATTTATAAGCGATGGGCCAATTCTTAAACTTTTTGTGCCTCTGTTTCCTCATTTGTAAAATGAGGATAATAATTATACCTATCTCCAGGGTTCTTAGGATTAAATGAGATAAACATATGTAAAATTCTCAGATAGTGCTTGATGCATAGCTGCTTCTCAATAAATGTCAACTGTTTTTTATTTGTTGGCTTAGTTTGGTGAATGAATACAAATATAAGACATTAGATCCTGCATTGGACTATGTATTGTTTACGGTTCTTGCAGTCAAAATATATTATTCTTAACTCTAGATGTGCTATTTTAAGGATATGTTTTTGTAAAGGCTGGGCTTTGTATAGTTGATAAACTCCTTAAAATTTCTCGTATCTTTAATGTATTTGGGTATTCTGTATACCCAAATATTATTTAGATATCACTGATCCCAGAACTAAAATTTTAAATGAAAAATGTAAGCTTTGGAAAGCAATTACACAAAAATAACCAACACGACAGCTTTTCCTCCAGCAAGGTAACCTGTGATTATCTTGAAAGCATGTTTCTTTTTTTTTCCTGGCTTTTAGATTATTTGTGTGTGATCCTGTTCTCTAAGCATATGTCAAGAAAGTATACACATTCTTATTTTGTATGTTTGATTAAATAAGAAAATGAACAGTAAAATCTATAGACTTCCAAAGTTAAACAAAACTTCAGCTTATGTTTTAAATTATTGAATTTTCCTTTTGGTACTATTCTAAGCCTTCTTTGTGAACAATTTTAAGTTTCTTATAGAATGAATCCCTAGGAATGAATTCAGCAGTCAGATAATTATAGATGATGACAACTTGCCTATAAGGTTTTTGTTTTATTTAGTCTTGTGCTGTTTTGAAAGGCACCATGATGCTTATTCCTTCTACAAGTATTTGTCCTCTTAGGACAAGCCTTGTTTAGCAAACAATTTTACATTAGAATTTTCTCATCCCCTGAAATTTAGGTTGTAAATTGAGAAGGTTGGAAACATACATAACCATTTAGAGATCTGAATACATAAAATGGTACCTCTTTCTCATCAAGTGTCAGACTGATTTTGTACCAAATCCTCATTTTTCTTGATACTTAGGTGCCTCTGATACTCCTGTAAGTTCCCTCCTCTGATGTTCTGGATATTATGCAATTTAAGTCCTTCAATGTCTCTTCTGGTTTATTTCTTTGTTTCTTTTCTTTTCTTTTCTTTTCTTTTTGCATAAACCCTGACCTTAGATGACTGAGCTGGCTACTTCAGGGCAAAGATCAAGCCTTTGTCATCATTTCACCAGCACACACCACAGTGCTGGGAACAGTTATTTAATCAATGTTGACTGAACTCTTCTTTTCTGTTCTTGTTCTTGACTTTCTGCTTTTTTTCTCCTAAATACTTGGTGTGTTCATGCACAATTTTAGCCACCCCTTCAGGCTCATGAGTTCCAAACAGACATGTACAGCTTTTTTAAAAAGATTTTTTATTGGGGAATTGGGGGAGGGGAAGTGTTGGGGAATTGGGGAAGGGGACCAGTCAAGTTGTTGTTCTTCAATCTTCGTTGTGGAGGGCGCCAGTCGCCATCTGGCTTCCCGATGGGCAGCTCGTGGCCTCCAAGCTCAAGGTGCCGAGTTCAGTCTTAGTTGTGGGTGGGCATAGCCACCATCCCATGCAGAAGTTGAACCAGCAGCCTTGTTGTTAAGAGTGCATGCTCTATCCGCTGAGCAATCCAGGTGGCAGCTCAGCTCAAAGTGACAAGTTCAGTCTTAGTTGTGGGTAAGCGTAGCACACCATGGAACAGGCAGTCTTGTTCTTAGGAGCACGTGCTCTCACAAGCTAAGCCATCCTGCCATCTGTTGGCAGCTCAGCTCAGGCGCAGCATCACTGGCCCACATGGGAATTGAACCAGTGGCCCTGTTGCTCAGAGCTCGTGCTCTTTAGCCAACTCTTAACCAACTGAGCCTAGGCCGGCCCGACATGTACAGCTCTGACCCTCAACTTCTACTCTGTCATTCCAACTCAAGTATATCTCCACCATAATACATTTTTCATTCTATTAATCTTTCTGCGACTCACACTATTATCATGCCATTGCTTTTTAAGAACTACAGTGACTCTCAATTACTGTCTCCATACAATCAAAATGCCTTATGAGGTCTTTCAAGGGTCTTCGTTAGCTCCATCCCTCCTCTACGTCTTTTCTCAGGGTATTTTCTGTATCTGATTGCCTCTCCATCCTCAAAGTAATATTTCCAGTTTACATTTACCCGTTTTGTTCTCACATCCTATTATATTTATAGTCATCATGTCAAAAGTAAGCAGCTCCTTATATTCTGATTATTTTGTATTTGCTCAACTAGGTTGTGTATCATTTTACGTCAGATCTATGTGCTACAATTCTTTTGGGGTTCTCATAGGGATTAGCACAATTCTGATAGCACTGTAAGAGCTGAAAAATTACCTGTTCAATTTTTAACAGTCTCTACTAGAAGGCAGAAACCACAAGTTTACACTTAATTAGTAATCTAATATTTGCTGTAAACAGATATACATGCCTTCAATATGAAGTATGTAGAGCAATGCTTTTTAAACTTTCGTGTGCATGCACATAATATGAAGATTTTGTAAAGTACAGATTCTGAATCCTTGGGTTTGGAGCAGGATGTTAGATTCTGCAATTTTTAACAAGCAGCTCTGACGCTCCATTCCAGGGCCCCCTCTTAGAATAGCAAGGATGTAGAGCATTTTCTTCTTTAAAAAACTGAATTTAATTATTTTTGAAAATTTCCTCTTATTCTCAATAGTAAACTTTAAGTCACATCCAGGAAAAGGAAAGCATTGTTGACAATATCATATCAAACATGACATGTTTCTGTTGGATGTATCATTAACGTTAGTTGAAGGTGCTTTTTATGGTATCATTTTAAGTAGTAAAACAAAAATTTTCCCATCTTTATTTTCATTTTGTATATGAAAAAATATTGTTTAAAAATACTTACTAAAAGAATTTAAAACATTGTCGACATATCACCATCTTTGCAGACATTTTCCATTATGTGACAATGATCTGTGCTTATGCATTATCGTTTCATTCATTTAATAAACACATTTTTATGGCCTATTTATTGTTAACTAAGACATGCCTATTCTATATACTCTGTATTAGAACAGATTTCTCCAAGAAAATTCTAAAGTTTTGAAGACAGTGATCATGCTTTCCATTTCTTTTTTTTCCTACCCAAATAAATTAGCAAGATGTTGGGTGTTTGGTGAACTCTTAAGAACTAATTATTTGATCTGTATGTTCTGCCTGGCTTTTCCTTAACACATTGTTTGCCTTCCTAGTAGAGAAATAATAGTATTTACCACTGTATTTTCAAGTGATGATTGTTCATAAAACATTTCAAGTAAAATATTTGTCTCAAGTCTGGTTCCTGGCAAAATGAAAATATATTCTTGTGTTTGGTGCTGATTGATTGTAGCAGTCTCTTTCTATTAGTGCTGCAATGTAGCAGTACCATTCCATTTAGCAGGCAAGAGCCATTAACGTTTGGCATTTTGGCTTTATAAACTTGATTTCCTATCATTGCTTTAATTTGCCACTATATCCTTCTGTTAAAATGAATACATCATGTTCAATTTCAAGTTTTAATGAGGTATGTCTGCCTGTATATAAGAAGACATGTCACAGGAAACATTCTTCCAATCTTTTAGTAACCAATGAAATTTGGATCTCTAATTTAATATCTGGATTAAAATTTATCATTATGGTTCATGTAGTAAGATTAGGACATGAAGAATATTAAAAGTCTAAATTTTTGACTTCTAGACTTGATGTACCTTTTTGTCTGCCAAAGCAGAAGTGCTCTTTTTTTTTTTTATAATGTTCTTTAAGAAAGAAGGTATGTTTAAAATAATAGACTTCAAAACTTAACTTTTATTGAATTTAATTTGGTAACCAAAGAAAAGAAAACTTACTATTAATAATTAATTAGGATTATACTCAAAAATTATTTATTAGATCATAATGGGCATTTTTACTAAAATTAATGAAACTAGAACTAGTTAGGATAGTTTAACCAGCATATAATTGACAAACCAAGAAGTATTTTATTTGACCATGGAGCAGGGAATTATTTCATACCAAAGATAAATTAGTGATTGACCAAGGCAATCTAATTTCATGTCTTTAAATATTATCATGCCAGATAGTACATTTTTTAGTGCTTGGGTTTTTTTCTGTTCGATTTTTTCTTCAGTAGTATATATTTTACTGAATAAAAGTTACTCCCCATGAAATAGAAATGTTTTCTACCTTCTAGAAGTTATAAAGGAGATGATGGAATTAATAAAATAAAAATTAAATGTATGCTAGGTAATATAAATAAATAAAAAGGAAATTGTAGAATTAAGGAACAAACTGAAGCTCTAAAAACATTATAGAATTGATAATATGTATTTCTTTAAAAAAATGATGTATATACTACTTATCTTGCCTACCTTCCCTTCCACTGGCCATCCTTAAAGGTGACTAGCAAAGCTGTTTCTCCTTAAAAAAAATTTTTGATATTTTTTGACTGGCTTCCTATTTATCATATTTATCAACTGATTCTCTCCAAAACTTTTTTTTTTCCTAGGTTAGTCCCATGGAAGAGAAACTACTTTAAAACTATCTTAAAGTTTTAGACTAGGAGATAGGCAGCCACTTTAAACTTTTCTCCAGATAAAAATCACTTACATGTATTAACCATCTTCAAGCCAATCATCTTGGTTCCCTAAAATGAGATTCCTAAAGTGGTTTGTCTTCCAGCTGCATGTGTGTTAGCAAACTTGGGAGCTACCCAGGTGAAATCTGAAACGGGCCCCTGTACACAAAGAGCAAAGAAAGACTAAAGAAAATCAGGCCATTCCAGGTTGGTAGGAGGCAGTTTTAATAAGCAAGGGAGCTTATATATAAGGCTTATCTTGGGCGGTCGTAACTCAAGTAGATCTCTACACCTTCTTGCCAGAATCTTAAAAGCTTATATAGAGGCTTTAACTGGGTTCAGTCACTTACAGCAGTGATGGTCTCAGCAACACATTGCTCTCTCAACTCTGAGTCCTTGAAAACTGCTTCTTTCACTGTGGGAACGGTGGGCAGAATGTACAATCCAAGCACAGGGGAAGGGGGTGAGGAGCCTGTGATTGTCCGGGTCCAGCTCAGGAGTACACCACCCAGCAGGTAGGTCCTCTCCATGCCCTCCTTTAACAGTGCAGTTTTTACATATCTTGTTTGTATGACAAACATACTGAAGACAAAAGGATCAGAGGCAATAAAACAATTTGGACTTTTACTGATATTTAGTATAATATATGTTGTCTATATTAGAGTGGATATTTTCATCCCAAATCAGTTCTTTATAGTTTTCTAAGCATTTCTATATCAGGAAAACCAGAACCAGAACCAGAATTTAAAATTGAATTATATGATAAAATCTAAAATAAATTACCCTCCAATTCTGATACTTAATGTTTTCAGAGTTGAAATGGAAATGAATCTATATTCATTTTATTTAATTTTTAGAATTATCTGAGCAAAACTTTGTAGAAGGCTTTGGAATATTTATTTAATCTATTTGAGTAAGAAGATAAATATCTTGGAGTTTATTGAATTCCATCTTTAATTGCCCTTTCAGGAAACAAGTGTTTAAATAATTCTCTACTTTATCCATGTAAGCTAATTGTTAAATATTATATCTTTGTTGGAAATTTTAGGCAAAATGGTTGTGATCTTTTATCCATAAGATTCATCTCCATTATTAATCTTAGATATTAAGATTCGTATTTATTTTGTATTGTAATAATTTACATATTTAGATAATAGACCCTATGTATTAAAACCTTCTAAAACATTTCCCTAGCACTTTGGCATAGATTTTCCAGTAATTATTTTTATACTTTTCTATTTTTTGAAATTAGTTTATCAGTTAAATAGTTAAGTCTACACTCTATGCCTCTATGCTACAAGCTGTTAAGAGGACAACAATGAAGGCATTACCTTTAGCCTCAATTGTTTTACATTTGGGGGAGTCATTAATAAACAAGAAGCTAAAAGACAGGGCCAAATGAAAGCTCTGTTGTGGGAATGTAACTGATTTTGACTACAGAAGCAGTTAACAGGAAAGTTCCATAGAAGGGGGAGGCATTGGTACTGATGTATTTCACCCCCTATAGCCCACCTCATTATTATCATATTTTGAAGCAGATTTCCTTTGCAGTGAAGCACCTCAGGGTGGTTTTCCTTCCCAGTGACATTCTGGTTAAGTGTTTGCTGTTTCAGGAAAAAAACAGTAGAGGGGGTGGGTGCTGTGGTAATTTGTGTGTAAAACCCTAAGGGAAAAAAACATCCCAAGGAAATCCTTGAACAGGATAAATGTGACAACTGAAGGGCGTTTTTCCTCCCGGGTAGTAGGAATTCATGGATGCTCTGATGTCATTCATGCAGCTCAGACAGTCTCTGTGAATGCCCTACTCTCTGCTTCCTCATGCTTGCTTGTATAACTCTCTTTTCTCTCTGTGTGTGTTTTTTCTTCTCTATCTTTACTTCAGTTTGATCATTGTTTCTGCTTCCTCATATTTTAAGCTTGCTCTCAGCAGTTCAGCATCCACTTTACCGTCTATTTTCTCTATGTCCATTCACCCTCAGATCTTACTACAAAAACTTTTTTTTAAAACCACTATTTTCTGGTTCAAATGTGGGAGATAATCTAATTGGCTAGAGTTGTTTATTTCTTGCCATCATTAAAGTTTGTTGGCTCATAAATGAGTGTAATGCTTTGGGTCCATCAGCTGTGGTACATAAAACATGGCTGCCTATGGCGACTGTATCAGCAGGGACTTTGTGTGGGGTAGTTACTCTTAAAAGGCTGGGGCTATGACAGGTGCACAGACTGAGATGTCAAGTAAAATAATATAGTACCTTGAGAGGTGCTGACATTTTAGGTTTCAGAATCACTTGGGAGAATGTTCTTCATCAATTGTTTTCAGTACCTAAGAATAAAGGGTTTGAGGAATCCTAGGGGCACACTGATGTTGACTTTATTCCTTTAGCTTTGTAATCAGGCTTACTATGTTGCTTAGCAACTCTGTGGCATTATTTCCAAACCTAATATAACTTGAAATACATTAGAAATGGAAACTGTAGAAATGTGATTCTTAGGAATTGATATTGTTTTGTTACTGTCAACATAACATGTTATTACAAGACAGACCACACAATATATAATAGAATATTTCTTGGATTTTCTGAGTTAACATAAAGAATACAGATATAACATCGATGCACTTTAGTTAAAAGTAATAGAAATGTAATGGTAATAGAAAGCGTTTCAGTCAGCTTTTTACATCCCTTAATCTAAATAACTATTCCCAAGAGGAAGAGCAAAACGAAACCACCCTAAATTATGTATTTTTTTCTTTTTTGAAAATCATTCATAAAGGCAGAAAAGTGTGGCGGTATATTTTGAGTAGTACAATGCCATAATCATCTTAATGACCCTTACTGATCTCCTTTTCAAAATTTGGGCAATGCTTTGCAAAAGAATTGTAAGGAAGCAAAAGCTCTCAGTTCCTATGAAGGAAGGAAAAATAAGTAACAGAGGGATATGTTTTCTGTCAACTCCATTCATTGAAAACCTATCCTCCAGGCACTATTCTATAGTAATTACAATAAGACGGGAAGGATTTCAACAAACCAAGAGATATAGTGAGCTAGTGTTCGTATTGCTGGTGACATGAAAAACTGAGTGTGGAGAATTTGCATCAAGGCTGATATGATTTCCAAACATTTAAAGATTTTTCTCACTTTGAAAATAAGCACTGACTCATATGTCTAAAAATAAAAATATTCGGGAAATGTTGTAAATTCTTCAAAATTGGGTATTGAGTCCAAAGAAAAATGTCGCTTTTCCCTGACGAAATTTTCACCTTCCCCAAGTTAGGGGAGGATCTCTTAGAGAAGTGTGGCTTTTAACTTTTGGGGGGATCGGGGCCTCTTAAAAAATTTGATGAAAACCATGGACATTCTTCCTAGGAAAATACAGATACTCAAAAATGGCATTTTATAATGAATTTCCAGGGTCTGTAGGCCTACAGAAGCCCATGTATGAGACTGGGATAAAAAATTAGAAACCCTGATCCTAGACAGCTTATTCTTAGTGGATGGAGTGGGGAGTGGCTGATGGGAGGTGAGAGTAAGGTCAGAGGTGAGGGCATTAGATTTAGAGTGTGTGGGGCTATATAATATTCTCTCAAACTAAGGATTCCTTGTAAACTACAATTGACTTTTCTCATCAATCACTGCTAGACCCTTCCTAACTTCTCTATAAGTGGCATAAAAAAAAATTAGAACTCTGTCTCTGCCCTTATTTAGCTAAGTTAATCTTTCTTAACTTCTGTTTCCTGATCTGTAAAATGAAGATAATACTTAATTCAAAAAGCATCATAATAATTAAGTGAGATAACATATGTAAAGTTCAAAGGAAGCCCTGAAATGATATATATTATTTTATTTACCAACATGTGCCAACGTTTTGTATCAGTTTTGATTTAACTTGTAGGCAAATAATTATTTAGCCAGAAAACCCCTTAAGATGAAACGAAGATGTTGTCTAAAATGAAAATATGTATTTTAAAATTTCTGTAAGTGACATGTCCTTTTGGGTACTAATTGAAAAAAAAAACTAATGGACAGATTTGAGCTATAATAATAAAATAGAAAATAAAGCTTTGTTAGAAAAAAAATTAACTGAAGATATTAAATGTTTAAAGATTGAACTATCTTGGTATATTTTTATAAAATTCTCATTATCGATCAAAATTATCTTTATTTTAGAGGCAAATTGTATTTCAGTTTCAATACACACCATTGTAAATCTTGGTCTTCTTTAATATTTGTTAATAAAAAATAGCTAAAAATTGTATATGTTATACATTTGTATTAATATAATATTATTGACATTTCAGAGTGCAGATGATTCAGATATATCTGTCATTACCCAGAACAAGAAATGCTTTGACAACGATATTGTGTGTTCTAAAAGTGTTTTGATTTCAGCTGGGGACACTGAAATTTACCTGAATGATACTCCTTACAAAGAGGTTAGTAAATTTTTAATTTTAGGATCATTTTAACTTGTCCTGAGGATACTGACAGTAAAATAGAAAGCATTTGGGGTACTTTTCTCTGTAAGTAGTTACTAGATTCAGATATGTTTTTCTTGGTCATTTTGTGTGGCTTCTGTCATTCATACTTGACTTGTCCACTTTGTTTATACTCTAATTCTCCATATTCTAATTTTGTCATCTTTTCTTCATTCCCATGGTTATCATTCAGGTCCTCGCAACAGTCACCTGTTACCTGGAGTATATTTTAACATAATCCAAACTAGACTCTTGGTTTCCACTCTTAGTTCCTCTCCTCTAATCCATTCTGCCACACTGCAGCCAGGGTGGTTTTTTTAAAAGGAAATCTAGTCCCTTGTCAGTCTAGTGCTTCAAAACTTTCCAGTGACTTCCCATCGCCCTTACAAGGCCTCACCAATCTGGCCCTTGCAACTCTCCTGCCTCACCTCTCATTTCTTTCTGCTTCAAGTCCATGTTACAGAAGTTGGTGCTTTTATCAGTTCTACAAATGCTCTTTCTCTCACCTCTGTTTCTCATGAAAGTCATTGCCCCTACCGGGATCAACCTTTCCATTTATCTTGTTCTAACTCGATAAGTCTCATATTTGATCTCCTTCAGGGATCTCCTCCTCATGCCCTCAAGCACCCTGTTAGGACATGCATCACACTTTAGTGAAATTACTAGTATGGCTGTCTTCTTCTCCATTTAGTTAGTTGTGTGAGAATTGGAACCATTGTCTCCCTTGTTTATTCTTGCATTCTTGAGCCTGCCCAATTTGAAAGAATGAATAAATTTCTTTCATTCATGTATTCATTCATTCATTCATTCATAATGTCTACTATGTACCAAAGTCTGCATTAATTATTGAGACTACAATGGTGAAAAGACACTGTGCTTGTCTTTAAGGAACTTACACTCAGGTGAGGAATATATTCAAGTGAGTAAGGATGTGTAGTGCGATGTGCTAGGGCAAGACTGTGTACAGGGTGGTATGGAAACCCCTGGGAGGAAGACCTAAACCAACCTTGTTTAGGGTAGTTATTAAGAACATAGACTTTGGAGTCAGTCAACACTCACTTGGAGCCTCTGTTCTATCACCTGCTAGCTGCGTCACTCTAGGAAAGTTGCAGCTTTCCCATGTGTAAATTTGGGGTGTTTATAAAATCAACTTCTTAAGTTCACACGTGGATTAAATGAAATAATGGATTTCAGGAAATGGCTCTCCTCCTCTCCTTCATGTTCTTTATTTTTGAAGGTTCCAAAGTCATGCTCTGGATGAAACCATTTGAACTCAGCCTTAAAGGATGAGTAGGTATTAGCCAGGTGAAGAGAGGGAGTAGAAAAGCATTCAATACAGAGGAATTGTCGTGTTGGAAGAAATAAGTTGAAAAATAAAATGGCATGTTTGAAGAGCTCTAAGTGGTTTAGTTTGGTTGAAGTATATGGGGATAGTAGAAGGAGGGGAATGGTGAAGGGATTCAGGGAGAAGTATCCAGACTGACTTTAATGCAGGGGACACGGGGCAGGAGCAGTAGACAAGAAGGCTGGTCTCAGATCATGGAGGCTCTTGAATAGTGTGAGAGATTTGAACTTATTTTACAAGTTAGAAATTTTGGAGTTGAGAAGTGACGTGATCTGACATATGGCCTTTATTTTTTTATTTCTTATTTATTTATTTTTTATTGGGGAGTTGGGAGAAGGGGAACAGACAAGTTGCTGTCCTTTTGTTCTTCAGTCTAGTTGTGGAGGACACTGCAGCAGGGGCTGCAGCGTACACCATCGTGGCG